TTTTCCACAGTTTGAAGCTGCTTAGCAGTTATTCTTTAAAAATCAAGAGCGCTCATGGTTAAGTGCAGTATATCATTGTGGTACGCCCATGTGTTGAGCCCTTGTATTCGACACAATCGGGTCACAAAACGTAGGCACAGACCGGAGGTATCCGATAGAAAGGGTCTCATTTTCTAATTGGCTGAAAGGCAAACACAAGGCCCGGAAATTCCCGGCATATTAGGCCTAAGAAACCGCCGCCTTGGAAGCTTTTCGACTCTCACTATGGGAATTCGTTCGAATTTGTACCTTTATCGAATATTATAGGAAAGTTTTCAGCTGAGATAAGAAACGGTTCCGATAAAAACATGTATTGTTAACATTCCTAGATTAATCAGTCGGATAACCATGTGCATCAGATTTAAAAATTGAAGAAAGCCACTGGTGTCGAAAAAAATGTCTTATTCATACAAATGCCTCTACTTTCTAATAAAATAACCATCTATCTCAATATCAGAAATTTAAAAAGGTGTCTGGCTAATTTTTGAATTAAATATAGACGACTAATTTCTAAATTCCCAAGTAACGTTAAGAGCTTGAGCGCACCCACCGAGCAAGCAATATCGATAGCTGGAAACATCTTGTGTGATATTTTCTGATAAAAGTTTCCAAACGGCGGCTCCTGCACCACATTCTGGCTGGCAAGTCGTCCTTTTATCGACGATTCCGCCGTTTCCACCCCCTTTCCAATGCTTACCCTTAGCCGTCTGTCCCTACAAGTCGAAGTGAACCCAGTGGCGCCGGTTTTTGCCGCAGTGAATATCCGTTTGAATTCCATCGAAAATCAATTTTGAATCAAAATTACAATTGAAGTATCGAATAAATATTTGAAAAACGAATTATTTTGTGCAAATCAAGGGGGCATGTTTTGGAATAGTAAACTAAACTGCCTTGAGGGTTGGTTTATTAAGGTTTAGTTAGCCTGATGCAACTTCAATCAAACAATCAAATTAAATCATCCCAATGTGATCAAATGCATTCATCTAGTTTTCGCAAAAATGTAGGTAAATATTGCCTACAAACTAAAGAAACAGACAAGACGCAAATTTAACCTAGGCGTTTGTTGCACATGTACAGAAAAAATCATTTACATATATGAAAGGTTTTTATGGACAATTTTTGTAAGAAGTAGCAGCCATTTTAAGCAAAAGTTAAAAATGCCTCAAATTCCAAACCAGTTTCATCACAACAAAACGGGGAACTCAACGAACCCATAAAATGCCAGACTGAACCAAAATTATCGAAAATATTGGACGATTTTTGAATTCTGTATTCTTTGGCCGGTATTATGACGGAGTTCAGAACAATTTATGAGTTTTTATATTTATTATGAAACACGCGGGTAAATCGGTATTTTAGATATAAATTAAATCAACATCCTTCAACAGAATCGTCAAAACATTGTGGTTTAAAAGAGTGTTTAGACACTGGTTATTATACTTGTTGCTTTTTAAATCGCCGATAATGTTCCCAACTTCTTTACAAAAGTCCTGCGATTATAAAAAGTTGCAACTTTCGGTAATGTTCTGTAGCGATTGAAAGAATATTATCAACAACTTTACCACTAAACAGAACTCAAAGACCAATAAGTTGTTTTAAGAATTTTATATAGTAAAATTGCATTTTAAAGGGTTTTTTTGTGCAAATGAAAGCTATTTAGGTATGACTGGATTCTGATCATCTGTTGATAATTCAGTTACACGGAATTGTGATCAATTCCAATAAAATTATCAAAATCCGTGATTACGTATAATTTATTAAATGCGCGGGTAAATAATTTATTGATATTCAGACATAAATGAAATAAACTTCCTTCGAACAACAAAATCGTCAAAATATTGTGGTTTAAAGGAGTTTTTAGATGTCGCTTATTATTAATTTTTGCTTTTTAAAGCACTGAAAACTGTTGCAAACATCTAACAAAAGTCTTGTGACTATAAATAGTTTCGACTTTCGGTAATGTTCTGCACCATATCTTTGCTTGAAGAAATATTACCTATAAATTTATCATTAGACTCACTTGAAAAAACTCTTAAAACAGAATAAGTTACATATTTAAAAAAAATTTACAACTGAAAATTGCATTTAAAAATATTTAGATCTGAACATCTGCTCAAATAATAATTCAGTTACACGACATGCGATCAATTGATCAATTCTAACAATTCATCAAAATCTTTGATGTATCTTCTTATTTTCATCTCAATAGATTTTCGTGTTTTAGTAGCAATAAAATTCATTTAATGTTTCCGTAGCCGTTCAGTTATTGAATTTCTTAATTCAATGAATTATTATCTGACTCAAACTCGTCCTTTGTTTTCCTAATATTCTGCATGTTTATAGCATTTTAGAATGGTTTTCGTCGTAGCTTTCAGCCAAGTTCGATGAATAATGTTCACGGCATCTAAAAGGCTAATTTTATTGGCATTGTTTGTCTGTATTGGCATTTTAAGAAATTATAATTCTTCGATCCATGAGTTGATATTTTGAACTGATTGAAGAAACTTGAAGAGGCAAGAAAGAAAGAAATGAAAATGTTCTTGTTGGTTCTTTCTTTCATACAAGGTATTCGATGGCATAAACAGAGAATAGCCAAGAAAAACTCCAAAACTTTTACTATTTGAGAACACATTACTTTATATTAATTTGGATAAGTTGATGCGGAAATTCATTATAAACGGATGCCTTAAAGCCGGAAACATTTACCTAATTTAACTTTAAGTTTTCTATACAGGGTGTCCCGTCAGCACATAACGTATGCAGTGAGACATTGTTTGGCTCAAATGAAGACCATATGAGCTAACTTTCGTTAAGAAAAAATGTTCTTCAATGTTTTTTGATATAAAGGGAGAATGGTAGAATTATTTTAATGAAACTTGCTGTGAATTTGTTCCTATGTAAGATTTATGTACTGGTACAAAAACTACCAGAACTTTTTATTTGGTCGCTGGAATCAACTGATTGTTTTAAGTGCATGCACTAATCATTTTTGAACATTTTTGGTAGTTTTTGTACCAAGACACCCAGGAATTCCTCAGTTGCGCAAAGCGGATGAAGTTCATCAAATACCGAGTCAAATAGAAACAAATTGACAGCGAGTTTCGTTATATTCCATGGTACCGATATTTCAAAAAATATATTTTTTTTAAACTTTGACCATCAATAGCAGAGGGCCAAGACATTTTTTCTTAGAAAAAGTTAGGTCAGATAGTCTTTTGATCCAAAGAATGTCGTAGTACCTTACGACGTCGTAGTCTTACGGGATACCAAGGGGTAAAAGATATTAAATAAAAAGATTCCCTCTGTTCGCTCTAAAAACTCTTTAAAAATGGCACAATATGACGCAAAAGTGTGTTGTAAAAATTGCAAGTATTCCGTTACAAATTGCTAAAACGTCAATTTTTTGCAGATTAAACAATTACGGCACGGGCCCAAATGGCATGAACCAGCAGGATCAAGCAGTAGGCGGATACCAAAATCAAGGAAACGCTCTATCGACGGCTGCAATGGTTGCAGCAGCAACGGCTACGGCCACGGCAACAGCAAGTGTGGTAGCACTGCAAGACAACGCGGCCCAATTTGCAAATCAGCAATACAATCAGGGCTACCAGCAGAGAATGATGCCGATGAGCGGCATGAACCCAATGGGAATGAACGCAATGAATAACATGAACCAAATGGGAGGAATGCATGCAATGAATGGCATGGGAAACATGGGAGGTGAGTACGCATCGCCAGTCTAGACTATTTGATCAACTGACGCCCACTAGAAGTTTTTAACAAATCTTTTAATAAGCTCGTCCGATCTATGCAGGAATGGGTCCTAAAATGGGCATGTCACTCCAAGGACCAGGTTCAGCTGGATCGAATGCGATGTATTCGAATAGGAGAGCGGTGCCCTATCCGAATCCCATCATGCATATGGCACAGAAAAGGGGAGGCCAGACCTATTCGAACGGTCCCTGTCCCACAATGGGAAGTATGGGCAACCCGAACATGGGCAACCCCAATATGGGATCAATGGGACCAAGCATGGGTCCGAATATGGGCTCCAATGCAATGAATACGAATAATTTCAATCCCAATAGTCAATATGGTGGCTACGGTACGAGGCAGCCTAATTTCAACCAGTATCCCACTCAGCAATCGCTTGGCCCCACAGGCAATTTTGGAGCAGGTAGGTTTACATTTCGGCCTTAAATAGTTCACCCACATGGGCAAATTGCTGATGGTTAACTTATTTAATCAAACAATTTCAGGACCTGGAAACATGGGCCCTGTAACAAACCCCAGAGGTTTTGAACAAATGACGAAGCAAATAAGAGGAGCAACTTCGCCATTTCAAAATCAAGCCCAGTACTTTACTGCTTCGATGCCTCAATTTCCTAACAATAACGCTGGTCAATTTAATATTACCAATTCGGGACATAGCGGTAAGTTTTTCAGGAGAAGTGAAAAATCAAGATATTTGAATAATATTTGCTGAGGTTCGGTCATAAATGTATTTTATATTATAGTTTGTTAATTTCGCTTCATTTGCAAACCATCAAGTAAAATTCACCTTCCAAAAAACCAAAAATTTTGAAAAATAAAAATCGCCAAATGTCTAATATTCTAAAGCAAAGCCGCACGGTATTTACGCTCCGTTCGTAATTTTAATAATTACTAGTCATGAAAAGCTTTGAAACTTTTGCGAAGAAGAACAACAACACACAGCCACTGAAATATTAATACAATTATTAATTATTGCTTATTGATTTTAACACATGTTGCTCTCATCTTATCCTTTTTCAAGAAATCGTCGAAACTGAAAGAAGATCGAATATATCGAGTTTACCGATGATTCTATGTTAATTATACCATATCAACTGTTTTTCGATATAAACAAAAACAAACACTGTTAATATTAGTGAACAAGATCTTTGAGGGTACTAACTTTTTTGTTCCAAATAATTTGTACATACTTTCCTGACTGTGTTTCAATTCCAAATCAAAATCAATTCCTGGGCTTCCGTCATTTATTGTCCATTTATCAATTAAAATACGTTTCGGTGTTTTCCACCATCATCAGTTTCTATGTGTAGCGTTGTTGCTACTTTAAGCCTTGGCATATATTTCTTAAAATACGTTTCGGTGTTTTCCACCATCATCAGTTTCTATGTGTAGCGTTGTTGCTACTTTAAGCCTTGGCATATATTTCTTAAAATACTTTTCGGTGTTTAATGTTTTCTAGTTTACTCATCGGAATTAATTTCCAGAGCAGTTTAGTAAAAATGCTCAAATGAAACTTAGTACTGCTTAGAGTAACCATTAAGATTCAACATCGTATAACAAACGTAACCAATAATTTAAATGGATTTACATTCATGACTGAAAGCCAGAAAATATAAATTGAAACAAGTTATCCAGATGAAAATGTCTACATTTGTGTTTCTGCTTTACTTGCAGTGCAAGGACAGTATAATTCATCCAACCAGTTTCAACATGATATGGCATTGAGAAACCAGCAAGTGAATTACCAACATAGTCCGATCCCCGGAAATCCGACACCACCATTAACCCCAGCCACCAGTATTCCTCCGTATATTAGCCCTAACCCAGACGTTAAACCAAATTTCAACGATCTGAAGCCACCACTACCCCATAGTAAGTAGTTTTTTGTTATTCTCTCAATTATTCACGAGTTGAACAAAGTTAAATCAAGCTGCTCCCCTCATTTGAAGTATCTAACAGTTTAATAATGTCTTACAGAAGAAGATGAACTTCGTCTAACGTTCCCAGTGCGAGATGGAATAATATTACCACCATTCAGGCTAGAGCACAACTTGGCTGTTAGCAACCATGTGTTTCAACTGAAACCCACTGTGCACCAAACCCTTATTTGGCGATCGGATTTGGAGCTACAATTGAAGTGTTTCCACCATGAGGACAGGCAAATGAATACCAACTGGCCCTCGAGTGTACAGGTACAGGTAACCCTAATCGCACTAAATAAATTACTCTTTTTTTACTTGGAACAATTGTCTGAAAATAACTCATTAGGTACTTATTGTCCGGTTCCATACGAACTTCTTTAAATGGAAATGACACAATCGCAAATAGGTATTAAAGCAAATATCTTGGATCCTCACCTTCCATTTCTTACACAATTGCAGGATTTCAACGTAATCGAGTAAACAGCCCAGTTTCACTAATTTAAAACCATGTCAATAACTGCGAATTGTTGATAAGCTTGCTCTATAGTTGCAATATGACAGTGTTTTGTATTATTTCGAAATCGAGTAGCAAAGGGAACAAAATATATAATTTTGAGAAACAAACAGGCGAGATTTTAGATCTATAGTTATCGATCATATTCGAATTCAAATATATTGAAAATAAAATTTCAAAACGTAAAAACGTTATAAGAACACATGAATATTCGAATATTCGAAAAGCGAATAATTATGTGTAGTCATAACTCGAATATCCGAATATCCGAATAGTCGAATACTCGAATAATCGAATACTCGAATACAGGGTGCAAATATTTTTATAAGCATTTTGTATACTTTTATAAAATAAATTATTCATATTCTACAAGCATTTAAACAAATACCCATATATTTACAAGCAAATGAAATTAATCATATTTACTCTCCTGCAAATGAATATAAAATTACGTCTCTGTGTTTTGGTCATCCGCATCATCAACTTTTGCGCGGTGTTACAATTAATGTGCCGACAAAGGCACTTTTCTATCCGTTGCGGCTAGTTGCCAAAAATGATATGAGATAACGATTTTTCTTCTTCGAAAACGGTGAAAGGAAAACGAATACGAATAGAAATACTCGAATATTCGAATATTGGAATACTCGAATACTCAAATATTGGAATATTCGAATACTCGATTATTTGTTAGATATTCGAGTATTCGAATAATTTTACTATTCGAATAAACCACTAAACGAATATTCGAATATCAGATTCGTAAAAATTCCGAGCCCTAGTTTAAAGTTCTTTATATTTGTAACAAATTGCATCTGAATGACCTTAATTTTTTTAAATTGCATTATAGAAAATACTTTTTTTTAATTCGCGTAGTTTTAAAACCGGTTCAGTGATTTCCACGAATTTTGAATAAAATTGATTTCTTGTTCAAAAGTTTTAAATCAGACTAACAGTGCTATTTTTGACTACTACAAACAGTATAATAAAAATATGTTTTTTAGGTTTCAGTAAACGCAACGCCTCTAATGATCGACCGAGGGGAGAACAAGTCCTCACATAAACCGCTCTATCTCAAGGAAGTGTGCCAACCTGGACGAAACACTATTCAGATTACAGTTACGGCTTGCTGTTGCGTAAGTTGAACTCTTCATTATTTTGAAAGTACCCTCTAATTTTATTTATTATCCTTTATAGCACGTTAATCACATACGATAAACTAACTTTATATCTTCTTTTTCTTTCCAGTCCCACCTATTTGTATTGCAGTTAGTGCACAGGCCTAGTGTTAAATCTGTTCTAAATGGACTAATGCGAAAACGGCTATTAGGCGCAGAGCACTGCATAACAAAAATTAAGAGAAACTTCGGCAATACGAATTCTGGACCGAATGATCGAGATGCCGTCGAACAAACCTCATTAAAGGTATAGTTTTGCCGCCAACAGCTTGACTAATTTTTGTTATCCGATAGAGTAAATACTGGATTTCTAATTTGAACTCTTGTTTCAGGTGTCTCTCAAATGTCCATTAAGCTTCAAGAGAATAACTTTGCCATCGAGGGGACACGAATGCAAGCATATACAATGCTTTGATCTTGAAAGTTACTTGCAGGTGAATTGCGAAAGGGGGACTTGGAAATGTCCTGTATGCAAGTAAGTGCCTACATATTCAACTTTATTTAACTAGTGCTGAGTTAAAACCATATATTTATTACAAATGTTTTATTACAGCAAGCCTGCCCAGTTAGAAGGATTAGAAATTGACCAGTACGTGTGGGGAATTGTTAATAACACCGCCACGGTCGATGTGGAAGAGATTACTATTGACAGTAATGCCAGCTGGAAGATTTCAAAGAGTGGAATCAAGGTAAACTAAATATCCTAAAATCATTATTGATGATGGGCATTTTACCGGAATCCAATGATATATTTATTAAATATATATTTTTTACAGTTGGAAGACGAAGGCAATGAGTCGTGCGCATCAAAACGCATGAACAAAGCCATGTCGCCTGGAAGCATGACTATGCCGACCATGAACAACTGGGATATGTCTCAAGCAATGTCCCCCTATTTACCTCCAGACATGAACAGTATTGCTAGCGGCTCTATGATTAATGGAAGTTCTGGATACAATGGAGGCAATCGAGGTAATTGCTCGATTGGTTCAGTTCAAATTCCGTCCAAAACTGCATATTTCAAAACTGGAATATTATCATCCCTATTATCTACAGGAAATTGTATGGATACCAACAATATGGGATTCACCGGTTCAGAATATTTAGGAGGCAGCGGGCCTCTATCGCACCTGAGTGAAAGTGTGAATTCTTTAGACCCCTTAAACGCCATGGAGAAAAGCCTAAACGAGCAGGTAAGAGCATTAAGAATTAACAATTTCGCATTGCCAAGCCATCGAATATCGAATAAAATTGTATTGTTTTGATGCAGATGCCACATACTCCCCATACACCACACACACCTCATACGCCGCACACACCTGGAGGAGGTACTCCAGGAAGCGCGCACACTCCTGGGGGCACAACCGGACCCCCAAGTGTTCCTCCAGCCAGTAACGACAACCACAACACAAGCGGTGGCAGCACTGCGGGAAATAATGGAGGAAATACTGCGAATGGCAATAACGGAAATACGTGCGGAACCAACGACAACAGCCTACCAGAACTTCCAAGTGATCTGAACTTTGATCCAGCCGCCGTTATTGATGGAGAGGGGACTGGCCAAGAATCTTTGAATGTAAGTTTTAATTCTAATTTAATTTTTGCATCAATAAGAAAATTATACTAAGATCCGGACAGTCTACTATTTCAAACCCAGTTAAAGCGCAAGTAACTTTCGTTGAAATCATTTTTATTGACGGATAAAGTGTTACACCATTTAGATCGTGTAGAAGGAACTTTGAATATTAAGACTATTTTCATTAAGTTTGTTGCATTACTTAAGCTTCCAAAGCAAGGGAACATATGCGGTTTTAAACTACAGTTTTTCTGGGAAATCTTCCTGAGGACAAGCCTGACTAGACCAGGCGATTTACATTTAAAAAAATCCACTTTGTTTTATTATTTAAAAAAGTTGGATGCTCATGGATTCTTAAAGCGGAACACTTAGGAATTCTGGTCTATACCTAGAACATGGAACCAATAACATTTATTCAAATTTATGGATAGATCGCCAAACCGGTTTTTTTTCGAAATTCCGAGTGTTCYATTGAAATTGTTTAACATATTTTTAATAATATTTAGCACATTGATATTGGAATGTTATCAAAAGTGGCTTCGRGACTTGATAAACGACTTTGGGCGGAATTTTATTTTAATAGCCGTCGCGTACAGGKCAGATATTAGATTTTACATTTTACGCAAACATTATTTTCCTGCTCACTTTARCTCTTTTGGAGATATTTGGRTTTATATCGCCCAACTCATTCTCGTTCATCGTTAGTTTTCCAATTCAACTTTTATTTTATAAGAAGTTACGAAGTATTTCAAAGTGTAAAATATTTATTATGAAGAAAGCCAACAGTATACGTTTGCTGTTTTTTTTTTAAATGTTATGCTCACTTATGTCACTGTTTTTTCAGTAACCATTTTAAAAATTCTACTGAATGTGAACGCCCTCCCTCAAAAAACTGAAATAAACTGTCGGTTTTAAACAATAAAGGAAGTTCAGRAATATRAAARAGGAATCATTAATTTAACACTAAAAATKGTTTGATCAAAAAASAAGATCAAGTCACTAMGAAGATCAGTAGCTAACAAGATGAATAAATCTGAAATATCTAACTTTGTACTTATTAAACTACATATTTAACWWWTTTTTTGCGGTTTGTAAAATTTTRTAGTTTRATTGATTTGATAAATATTAAATATTTATAAATTATAAAATCATGTGAAACRTGTGGATGTTAYGGTCCTACTAAAGCTGCGGCTTTTATGTGCTATGTCAAGCAAATAGTTTGAGAAAGCCTTTGAAATAAAACTAAATGGAACTACAATAGTGAATGTCTCTGAATAAAATTCTTGCAAGTTTTAAACAATTAATTGTAAAGTTTTCTATTTCATTCTGTATCTTCAGTTATCTTGAAAAAAACAAACTAACGCATTTGCAACAAAAAATAATTAACTGATAGTTAGGCAAAATATATTATGAAAAATTGCGTGATGCTTCTTCTGTCGAACAGTGCCACTTGCAACTTGTTTATTGTTTTTATGGTTCTGAAATTTTTGGCAGTTTTTTTTAAACATACCGAATGTTTTACTCGAGTACTAGTTTTACTCGAGTACTAGTTTTACTCTAACTCTCATTTTAACTCCTTGAATCATATTTATTCAATATTCATACGATTTTATATTTTGTTAGTGTCCGTGGTTGATTTCGACAAGCTATGCGTTGCCACTCTTTCTTTAGGTACTTTTAGTAAATGCCTCTGCAATATATGAATTTTTTAGTGAAGTTCAACTACTGGGTAAAAATTGTCCTTGATTTTGATGCTATCTGCTCAAACTTAGAAAAGCTAAACAGAGAAGTTCCTGGTACTACTCGGGTCTAGAGAAAAACTTAATTGTTTGCACATATCGTGTATAAAAAACGGATTTTTCGCAATATCCGTGTCAAGTCGATTTTTAATATGATGTTAATTAATCACTAATAATTCTTTCCAGCTCTTACCGGATGGTGTAGACCCAATGGAACTCTTTTCTTACTTGAATCCTGATATAAATACGCCACCTTCAAGTGGTAGCAGTTCGGGGCACAACAATTCCACTACAAATGACGACATATTGGCCCTATTTGAGTAAAATAGTTCCTGTGAGCTCAGTTGTGAGTTACATTTATTGTGTGATATAGACCTTTGCGAGTGAAATAGCAGGTTTCCTCGGTTTAAGTCTTATGGCTGATGCAGATCAATCCCTTTTATACTAAACATTGAAATTCAAGAAACTCTGTATTCTACATAAGTGACTATGACACGTAAATTCGAAACACTATTTTAAAAAACCGCTAATATAATTTCAGCTTTACGTTACCAAAACTGAAATTGACCAATTTTAATTTTGAACGATTTATATTTCATTATTATGCACACGAGGAATACATTTGCAAGTAATACAAGGTCAACGCAGTATACTCACAAAATAGTATATAGTACTCACAAATTCTTTACCCGAAATAAGACGATCTAGAAAAACTTACTTATATCTAATGTTACTTCTTTTTGCCGCTACAGGGCGCCAAAATTCTCAAATTAGTATCGTATTTTTTCAAATAATTTCCCAACGCCCATATCGATTGTTACTAATTTTTTTGAATTGCGTGGTTCTTTAATAAATGTTGGCATTTTGTTATCCCCGATCCAAATAATTTTAATTTTTTTAGCTGCTAGCTGAGTTTCTTTGGAAACTTTTTTGCCCCTTGTCAAATTTTCGTCAGGCCTACAGTTTCTGGACAAATAATCATTTACGATACCTGACAATTCAGATTATTAATTATAAAACTAAAAAAAAAGAAAAATAGTAATTCTGAATAATTGAACTAAGTTAATTATTTTAACAAATGTTCAAAAAATTGACCGTTTTCGCGAACACAAATTATTTCTGTTCAAAAAATTAAACTATACTTTGGGCATCGTTGTCGGGCTTGTTTTTAAAACAAGCAGCTTTGAAATTTGTTTCCAGTAAATAGGCTTTTGTAGCAACGGGCTTTCCTAAATCAAAAGTGTATGCTCACTTTTGATTTAGAAGAGCCTCACAGAAAACATCTAGCGGCGTTAAATCGGATGATCTTGGTGGCCAATTTATGGGTGGATCGTTGCCTCTGTCGATCCATCTATTATTTGACTTCGCCCAACACCAAAAACAGTAAACACTCGGTTTGTTAAATGAACGGAATAATTTATTTTAAGCAACTCATTCGCAAACACAGAAACGAATTTGTATAATGTTTTTCACATCAAACTAGTATTGTAAATAATTTTTTGTACAAAAACTGTATGTCTGACGAAAATTTTACAACAGACACAAAGTTTACAAAATCAGCTAGCAGCAGAAAAAAATTAAAATTATTTGTACCGGGGATAACAAAATACAAACATTTACTAGCGAACCAAGCGTAATTTTTAATAATTTCACGCATTAAAAAAGATCACGCTCACCTACTTCACTTGCTAAAACACGTCAATTTATGTAGTAACGATACTAATGATGAATTAATATCCAATTAAGCGACGTGTGGTTAATTAAGCTTTGTACAGTTATTTCGGAAACATCCTCCTGTATATACATTACTTGCTAGAAGTGAAAAATGTTAAATCTCGCTTAATTTGATCTCACTAATCATGAGTTATTTGCACATCAAAATCCCTGTTTAAAATTTGATAAATTCAAATATGTAACCTTCAAGATAAAGGCAATAACTTTTAAATGATCTCAGACACACCGACCCGCGGTCCACTAGGTCATAAGATTCTTTGAGTTTTGAGGAGCTACAAGTTATTTTTATACTGATGATTGAATGAAATTGTTTTAAATAAGTTTGTTTTTGTATATAGCGTATAGTTTTTTGGTAAATTTCTCTCATCTCTGGTAGCATACAGCTTGTTTCTTGAATTTCGTGCTTTTTTTTCGACCATATTGTAAACTCAATCCAAATAGGCGCAGTTGCATATGGCAAATAGAGGATACCGAAATCAAACGATTTGAAATCTCTCAGCCTGTATATTTGTAAATAGAAAGAAATTTATTGATATAGAGTATATCTATTATTAATATTTTTTTGGCGGGAGAATGTTTTGCTTTAGCTGACGGTATTATTTTTCCTACTTAATTATAAGGACCTTAAAGAATCAAAATAACTGTTAGTATTAGAATTTAGTTCATTTCGAACACAGTTTGTATATACCATATTGGTAACATTGTATTCCTATTATTTTTATAAATTAAAGTAAATAAAAACTCAGCTAAAGCAAAAACTAGTATTGTGGCCAGTTGTGTAGAAAAACAAATAGTATTAACCATGATGACCAATATATGGGAAAGTACAAAGTTTGAAAAATATAATTTAATTCAATAGGAACAGAAATTCACTTAGTGTTAAATTGTCAAATTTTTTATTTTCGAATTGTAAATTTTATACTTTCCAATATGTTGAAAGTTTCAAAGTAGAAAATTTTTTCAACCAAAATTTCTAGGTATTATGACCACTTTAGGGTCTTTTTACATATGGATGTTGCATTATAAACATAAGCTTAAAGTATATAAAGTTTTTCTTTGAGAAATTTGTGAACCTTTTCGGTGTTACGACTACTTAAGATATCCGACAATTTCCCAAAATCGAATAACTCAGCGAAGTTTACCAACGATTTTTACATACTTTCCAGGAAACTGAAACGAGCTAATTCAAATTTTGTAATATAGATCTACTAATAGACACATGCAAGAGTTAATTAAAATTGGTAACGTTACATGAACAAAAACTTAATCAATAAACAGCAAAAAGTCGCCTCACATCTTAATATTATTTTGAGCTTGAACATGTGTAACCCCAATCTGTGCATAGCATATAATAAGGGGCCACATTATGACAGAATAAAATTTACAATGTTGTCCATCACTTGCGTTATGGTTGGGCATTGTAATTTTATATACGTGTGCGGAACTCTGCAAACTGTGATATTTAACACTTAATTATAAGTACACTTTTACCTAATATAATCGAAACTATATAGGTACGTTTGTGTAAATTTACAGAAATAATATTAGTTATAATTAGCGCAAGACCGAAATCCTATTAGGTAATGTTTTAAAGAGGCCTCGTTTTGATGTCGTAGACTTAAAGTGTTAAATTTCATGTGATAAAATATATTTTGGTAAAAATGAGAAATTGATGTTTTATTTTAAAAATTTCCTGTAAATGTCAGTGTCGTCTAAGTAAATGTTGTGTCTAGGAAAATTCGCTCAATCTCAACAGCCTACCAATTTCCAATCAGAATTTTCATAGAAATAGGAAACTAATTCAAACTAACGTTTTGTGTTATGAAGTGGAATGTACCATCAAGTGGCTATAAATATAACGTTGTAATTGTTTCATTAGTGCCTTGAGCTTGGGTGGATTTTAAAATGGTTCCCACGAAATTAGACCGAAAAGGTTCACAAAAACATCAAAAGCAGAAGATAATGCCAAGAAACTTAACTTATTCTAAATCTGTAGGTAATGCGGAGTTTTCAAGATAAGATATGTAAATGTAAACGTGACAAAATGAATATTTATAGAGAATTTACAAGTAATATTATGACACCAGTAATAGATAAAATTACCATAACTTGCTTCCAAAAATGTGTAACAATTACTATTACTATAAAATTGTAAATACATTTTTTGCCATCGGTATTGCTCTTTGCCAATAATTATTGTATTTTTTAAATATTTTTGTCGCATTTTTATAAAAAAATACAGGGTAAACGGTAAATGATCTCAATTAAGCATGATGCAAATTAGTTACTATAATTACTTATTGACACAAAAATAAAACAAAAAAGTTTGAACGCATCATAAAAAGCAAGTGTACATACACATTGCATTGCCAAAAGTTTACCCCAGCTTAAAATATCGCAGCTTTCAATTTTCATCCGAGGACCAATATGTGTGTAATTTCCATTTAATTAAAATTCTATAAGTTTTCCTAATTTGAGACCAAAGTTTACATATCATTTATTTCTTTTGGACCAAGTAAAACAAGCATTTGTAAGATATTACATTATTTTGTTCCTATTGTGTTGGCATTCTGCAAAACATAGTCAATACTAATAAGAGCTGATTATTGGCAAACTTGAAAGTGTTTTTAAGAGAGTTTTTAACAATTAGAGTAATTGAGGAATGTAGAAAAATACTGTACAAGTTTTATGTTGAAAATATTGTAAATACCTGTAAATTTTTTTAAATTATAAGTTACATAAAAATAGCTTTATTCTTTGATGACTACGTAATTTTACAAAAAGCGTTTTGAATAGAATTTTTTTAGCTCACAAAAATTTAAACATTTTCATCAAACAGCGACTTTTTGCACTATTCAAAATATGATTCAAGTAAAATAATTCCATACAGGGTTATTCACGATTTCCGATATGTAAAATTGCTGTTAAAATAAGCATTATTTTATAAATACATCAATTCTCAGTAAGAATTTGGAATTTTGAACGCAAATTTTACTTTCGGCTACTAACCGSAAATTAAGAAAAAACAAACTAACACATGTAAGGTAAAACAAAATACCGTTGAAACGATAAATCAGTCGAATCAAAATATTTATAAAGCGTGAATAMCCCTGTATAAGAACTGCATTGCAACAAAGCATTTMATTTCACTTATTTTCAAACGATTTAGTACAAGTTCTCMRATTTATGTTTAACTGAACTTAGAGCRGAACTTAWTAATGTACTTTTTTGTTATCAGTGTTTTTGTGCAATCAATAAAAACCGTAGACTGAGCGATAGTCCTAAAATTATTTGCCTTTGATTATCCTCCCCGTGCTAAAGGAATTCAACGTATTCAACTAGAGGGAATACCGGCGTTGGAAAAATCATACAGCCAACAGATCAAAAAGCTCTAAGATTAACGAGCTTATAAGCCAAGTAAGCTTTAATGTGTGTTTGAAATTTTCGATTTGGACGAAAATTAAAATACGTAAATTTCATAAATCGAAAATATTCAGATTCATTTAGGACCAGAAATCAAATCCGCATTTTTCAAAAAGGTAARATGTAATATATAAGCAATAACTGATTTTACGAAGGAAGAGAACATAGTCAATCTGAGGCAAAAACAATGTCAAGCCCTAAATGTTGTGAACTTTTTTTTCCTTTTCATATTCCGGAAATWWTTTTTTTGCAATAAGTATACCTTTCAATKSGCATTMGAAACATKMATTTCTCAGAAACGGCAAGAGAMARCCCATTTTTGCTCGTTCTTCGTTTTAAAGCMAAAAATAGTTTTTCTTCTTATTTTAAAGTTTCATTAGCTGCATAAGTACATTTTCTAGAAATTTGAAAAATCACTGTGAATTGAAAATWTTCAAATATTTCAATTGACTGAAACTATYCTTTTTAATGGAAACAAAATTAGTTTGTCAATTAATTTATTTAAACTCTGATAATTTGTAAAAAARTTACCTTGCAGATAATAATATTTTGAAGAAATAAAGAGAAAACTCAATTCTTCCACTAGARAGCAATGAAAGAAGCAGAGTGCTATTTCTTTTCGTTTCTGAAAAATTGAGCTTCAAAATACCGATTGCAAAAACATTTTTTYGCAAWAAGTAATAAATAATTTCCGATCGACACGAGCAAGCGGGCAACTATTGAGTATCCAAATGATTACAGATTCCGAAATGAAAGAACAGTCTGGTACGCATTTTAAGAAACCCAAGCTGATTTTCATTTGCAGGATTAGTTCACTGAACTACTGTTGTTACATTCAGATGTCCAATGATTTGTTTTGTTTCGTTCGTCACATCACCAAAATAAACTTTAAACAAACACTCTGTAATACTTTTTAATGAGAACAATGTTAATCAAGAAGAAATAAAATATGTCAACATATATTAATTCTGTTATCTCTATAGAGATACCAGTTTCAAATGCAACCTGAAAAGTAAACAAGACTTTAATATATCGTCCATGTTCTTGGAAGCAAGCCAGAGTTGAACAGTGCAAAATCTCAAAAATGGGCCAATGGTTCATAACATTTATTGCGCTCCTCGTAATCCAAACTGGTAAGTGCATTGTGATCAAAGTAGTTAAGTTGCATTATTGAATTGCAGTGTTTTTTTTCTAAAAGATGCACTTCCTATATTTTCTCTTCTCAAGAAAACACTATAAGTTCTTAACGTAACTGATACTCTTCTTCGCCCACGCGTGAATGTATGTACTGATAGATAATTTTTTAAGTACTATCTTTATTTGAATAGCTTCTCAGCAAAAAGTTTTTTTATGTTGCAATAAATGCAGTGATGTAATTCATGCACGGTGATATCGTATAAGGTTATCTTGTACTACGAAAATATAAACATATCTTCGATTCAAGTTAAATAATGATAATGGTTGCACTTGGTTGAATGCAACAATTTTTTAACAAAAATAAACGGGGCCTGTTCAACAAATTGACCAAATAAATCAGCGTATTTGTTTTAGTGTATTATTAATGTATTTCAAACTGTTTTTCGTACATATGTTGCTTCATTGTGGCGCAAAGAGCTATTTCCCGGGAATATTTTTTCAAATTGCTTCAAAGTTCTTTTGCTAGAACCGATTTACAAAGGAGAAGATTTGAATTATTTTCAAGTTTAAATCTACATTTTAATTTCGTTTTCCTTATGCACTTTACTTCATTCCAACTTAAATTATCAATTTAAGCCTATTATAGAACAATGTTCTATACAGATGCTAGAAACCTAAAAAATCTCTTTAAAAGCTCAAAATTAATTCTTAAAATTAAAAAAAAGAATTAATAAGTTCAAAAATTGGACATATTTAGGTTGGGAACAATTAACTCATAAGGAAAACGAAAATATAATGTAAATTTTAACATTGAAGTTGGTTACATTCACACTTAATACTTTGGCAAATTGGGAAAGCGCTCTGCTTTGAAACGTTGTCCGTCGAATATGCAAACATCATGTACATTTTAACAATCGAAAAAAAAAGACTAGCAATTAAAAAGACAAAACAGAGCAAAGAGAGATACATATAAATGATCCATCAAACTTCAATTGCTTGTCGGAAATTTAAACTCAGTTTGAGCTAAAAGAATTATAGATTAGAGATGATTCTCACCAGCTTTTTGTAAATTGGCGCCCTATCCTCCATTTTCTACCCATTGACCCTCAAGAAGTTACTCACTAGACTTTCACAAACTACCCCACTTGCCATAATGGCCACAATGATTCTACATATATTTTCCATCTAAGAACGCGATTTCGTCCACTGTCGGACGCAAACTGAAAATTTATAGACCTTTTCGAGAAAAAAAGACACCGAACTCTAGAATCAACATGATTATTTAATCATTTAATTGTTCGCCCTTTCGATTTTCAGTTTGTTTATCGTGGACATTTCTGTAGAAAGTGACTGTTCGCACTGCAACACAATCAAATAAATATTCTTTAACTGTAACGTATTAAAATTACAGTTAGGTGAATATGCAATTTTTAATTTAGCACGATCAATTTCGAATTTTAATTTTATTTCTACCATTTCTAGCTAAACTCAGCATTTGCTGAAACAGTTTGATTTAGTGACTATATTTTGAAGAGAGCTCAAAATGAAAGTGATTTAAATTTGTTACTAATTTTTTCAGGAATTCATGCTGAAACTGATACCTCCAAGATTACTGTAGCCACACCACTTGGATTAGTTGAAGGATATGTTGTAAACACCATCAACTCAAATCCTTTCTATAAATTTGAAGGCGTTCCGTTTGCTAAACCGCCAATTGGAAAATTAAGATTTGAAGTAACGTTTATTTGAACTTAAAAATATTGCTCTATATTTGATTCATAAGCCATAAAGAAATATTCACATAAATAGTCGTCATGCTAGGAAAAACTGAGAACTTTTGCGATTTATAGACTTGATCGAACTTTACTTTGACTAAATGTTTAGAAAAATTCCAGGAGTTTTAGCAAACAAAATTAACTGGCTTGAGGAAACTAAATGCTACGAAATATATTCATAAACCAGAGGAAGATTGCTTAAAAACAAATTATTAGCTACCGTTTACTCTTTCAATATTGTGACGGTTGGTAGAGCTTATACATGTATGTCCAATGGCCATTTTAGGATCCTCAAGATGTGGAACCATGGAACGAGACTTTGAAAGCAAATTCCATGATAAAATGTATGCAGTACGACCATTTTCAGCAAGAAATCGACGAAACATACGTTGTACATGGTAACTTTTATTGTTTGCATTAAAAAAATATAATGACAAGACAATAAAAAAATAATTCTGGCACTTAGAATCCATGAACGTATTATAGGGAACGAAGACTGTTTGTATGTTAACATCTACACTCATACTACGAACTTAAGTGCAAACTTAGATGTACTCGTTCATATTCATGGCGGAGCATTTATGTTTGGCGGGGGAGGAAGTTACGGCCCATACATTATTATGGACAGGAATATCGTATTTGTAACCTTCAACTACAGATTGGGACCTTTAGGTAATTATAATAGCAAACATTCATCATCCAAACCAACTAATGCAGATATAGAAAATTATTGCCATCATAATGTTGAAAAATATTTCTTATGTCAAGTATCAAAAATAACAAACTAATTTTTTAGCTTAAAGTAGACTAAGCTCAATACTTGCATCTAATGTCGATGGAACAGTTAAAGTAGAAGATTTTGGAACAGATTTCTGCAACTTGCAACAGAACAAATAAAAAATTTTCTTTGCCGTTTGATGAAAAAGAAACATTTATTGTCGTATTATAAAAGTAATGGTTTATATCAGTTTTAAGACGAATAAATGTAAATCCACTGTATAACAAACAAAATTCAACGGCAAGTTCAATCGTTAATTGAGCTGAGCATCATAGTCAAATTCATACGTATTCAAAATAAAATGTATGTGCATTTGTAGGTTTCGCAACTACAGAAGACGACATTTTGCCCGGAAATGTGGGCTTAAAAGATCAAACTAAAGCGTTAAAGTGGATAAAGGAAAACATAAAATATTTTGGAGGAAATCCTGATACAATTACTATTCATGGCCTATCTGCTGGGGGTGCCAGCGTCCATTTGCATTACATGCTGCCAGCTTCCAGAGGTTCGCTAGATCGTATTAGACTATTTACTGTTAATAGTTATAGTTATCATCTGTTATATTAGAACCGTTTTTTCTTCCAATTTTCGCTTGAAGTGATCAATCTAGATTGAGAAAATGAGCATGAGGTAAATATGCAATGCTTCACTTTTTTCCATTTAAATCAAATTTACTAAGAGCATAAGGTCATAAAGTGACAAACAATTCAATAACTTGAAATGTTCCTTTTAGAAAAAGCAAATAATATCGAAAGAGACCAGTTTATAAAGCATGTTTTTAAAAATAAACGACTTCTACCGGTGAATAAAGTTCAACAATTTAAAGCAATATTTTGCTGGTTTCTGCGTCTGCACCTCATTACGAAAAAAATAATTAAGTATAATCAAAAAACAAGTTTTTCTTTTATAACAGTACCATTTGTACCGAATTTTGCACCCACATTTTTTTTCGTATAAATTATGTCTATTTTACATGCAGAACAACAAATACCCTTAAAGAAGACAGCTTAAAAGGTCAACTTTCAGACGTCTAGCTTTCTACTTAAGGAGTACAAAACTTACTAAACCAGAATAAAACCTTTCAATGAAGAAAAAGTTAAACAAAAATTGAAATTTACATTAGATTAACATACTAAAACAGAAAAAAACATTTCAGGATATTTAAAGCTACCTAATACATATGAAAAACAGAAGTTGATGATGGTTTCAAGAAAACGAAAAGTTGTAAAAAAAATTTCATAGACATTATCTTGTACAGCTAAGCTAAGGTTTTAAAACAACTCGTAAATCTTAGGTCTTTTCATCCATGGAATATCACAAAGTGGATGTGCCCTAAATCCGTGGGTATTAGCGGAAAACGTTAAAGAAAAGACTGCAAAAGTAGCCAGTTTACTCGGATGTCCAACATCAAATTCGAAAGAAATTAAAACGTGTTTGAAAAGTAAACCTGCGAGAGAAATTGTTCGGGCCACAAGAGTATTTCAGGTAAGCATTCATAAAATAGAATATACACAGTGTTACAAATTCGGTCAAACTTGCGCATTTTGATGCAAAAAAAATGGGGTTTTGAATGTTGGGAAAACTATAGTACTTCAGATAGATTCGAAAAAATCGAAAATGTGAATATTAATCTTCAATCAGCATTTTCGTTATTAAAGAACAGAGAAAATCATATAAACTGTTCAACGAAATGAACGTTACACAGACAAATTTGCCCGAACTTTGGAACTGGATAAATTCTGATTGCTTAGAGCGATTTCGTTTCAGTTTGGAACGTTTTTGAGCCCCATTTGCTTTTTGTTAGTCAATATTTTGGTAAAAATTAAGCACTAAATTTTCTACAGGGTGCTAAATAAAAAAATGCAAAATTTCGGAAAGCTTGGCATGCTCTTAGTTAAACAAAAAAAGGTTTTATGTATCTCAACTTACTTAGTTTAATAATGAACCAAATGTAGTTCGAAGCAGTTTTTTAGTTTTTAGGCGATCTCTTTTATTTATTTACAGAGTGGTCTCAAACAATCAACTATTTGATCTTGCAGCGTTAAATGTTCTGCTCTTGGTCCGATTTTCACGATCTTGAGCGTATATTGAAGATAAAACTTCATAGGAAATTTAAGACGAAAATTCGATATACAGGGTTGCTAAAAAAGTTACCCAAGGCACAACTGCCCCCGAAATCTGTGATTTTGGAAGATTTTCAACAAAGTGAATTTTACTTTCAAATATTATATAGGTTTATTTATGCAACCCTGTATATTATTTTTTTCTCAAGTCGACTGCGATATTTTACCTTCAACATGAGCCCTACATTTTGATAATCAAATATGTAGTTCAAAATAAAAACAAAACACTGAAGACCAAAAAGTTGATTTCTTCAGACCCCTTTGTAAATAAACGAGATATGCGAAAAATTGAAAAACTTCAGATATGTTGTCTATATTAATGCCTGTGGTGTTGAAATACAAAAAAAGCAGTTCTTTGTCTAACTGAGCATAATTTTTGTCTGTGTAACGCTTATTTGTCTGTGTAGCTTTTACTGATTGTGCAATGTTTCGAAACCCTGTAGAAACTTTATCTCAAGCACTAATTGTGTTTCGAAAAACACGCGCTAATTGAAAAATAATTGCATTAAATAACGCGTCAAACAAAAATCAATTCGCTCGCAGCAGTCGTAATTTATCCAGTTCCAAAATTAATAGAAATTTGTCTGTGTAACGTCTATTTCGTTGAGCAATTTATGATGATTATATGATAAAGAAAACTTATCGTTGAAAATACATCAACCATGTCTTAGAAAGACCAACATGTCTGCATTTACTTAACGGAAAATTTATATTAAAAACCGACATTTTTTTCGCCTAAGATATAGAAGTAACCAATGAGCACACTCATAAACATTAATTGTAACCGCAATTGAATATAAGTATGTACATGCCTTAGCGATTTAAAAACGAAAAAAATATGAGTAAATTTAGACTCAAGAGTATATTTCTTCTAGCCATTTCTATACAATCCATTTTCCCCATTCGGGGTGGTGGTGGATGGAAAATGGGCTTCCAACCCAGTGTTACCAGAGCATCCGTACATGCTGCTTAAAAAAGGAAAAATTTTGGACCTTCCATGGATAGTATCTTACACCCATGATGAAGGTTTATATCCTGCTGCAGGTAATATTCAAGATAATGTAATGTAAGATTTGGTGAAGTGATTTCAAGAAGCTTCAGCTCATTTCATGGTGCAAAAAATTGACAAATATGTTTGTGCAAATATTAATTAATAAAGATGCAAATCCTAAATTATTCATCCTCAAAGGTGCAAGAGTAATAATAATATAATCAATAAAACGTATTTATAACACCAACATTTTTAAGTGTATTGTTAAATAGTTTGAAAGCCTTCTTTCAAAGATTTCAATTCTAAAAGATAATATTAGAGTTTTTTTATAGCCTAAAACATTTTATGACCGTCTTATAGAGCTTTAATTTGAAATACAGAACATTTTCTAAACAAGTCTGAAAAGTGGAATGCAACAATTTTAACAGAGCAATTCCATATCATTTTTAAAATTTTATTTTTAGTTAAAATTAGAAAACATATTTTTAAAATAGCAGGTATATGAACTTTGTTAATTGCAGATTTTTGGGCTGATAAACAGCATTTAATCGACATTGACACAAAATGGAACGAAATAATGCCTTTTATATTGCACTACAATGAAAGTGCTCCATCGGACTTAAAAGATGAAATATCTCAACGAATAAGAGAACATTACTTGGGGAGTAAACAGGTCAATCGGCAAACCTATTCCACGTTAGTCGAGGTAAATTACAGTTGTACATACACTCGATTGAAAATTCCCATGGAACTATTATTGGGATTAGACTGGAAAAAACTGGAGCACTGAAATATTTTTTCAATAAATTTGAAGAAAAAGCAAGACGTATGATATAAAATAATTACAAATATTTACGTAAACCGTAAAATTCTTTAATGATTCAAGTTGGTACAAAAAACATATCTGGTTAAACACGTATTATATGTATGTAGTTTCATACAGATATATTCCAAAAAGCGGTGCCAGACAAGTATTTTTTAAATCAATCTTTGTAAAGCAAAAGTGTGCATTATTAAATATACAAATTAAAGTGGCGCGTGTGTTTTTTAAATAATCCGCTAGTGTTTATGATAAAGGTGTGAGAAAAGAAGCATACAAAGAAGTTCTTATGTGCATAAAATCGATGGAGGTTGACTAAGAATTGAAAAAAATAGTTATTCCATAGAGATAGACGCAATCATTCTATGTGGCCATAAGTCCACATAGACGCTTTAGAGCTTTATGTTAGAACTTGTATTAGAAATACCATTTTTTGGAAAAATAGTGTTATTTCACTTTTTAGTAGTCAGTACTTCGAAAACGTTTGAACATATGAACAGTTTCTCAAAACACTGACTTTATTTCAAACCAAACTAATTCAAGCCATCGACGTACTTTTACCATGAGTTACTTATTTCAATTTTTCAACGTTTAAATGCATGCAACTTTTGCTAGCAGTAAGTATATGAAATAGTTGATTTTTTGTGCATAAAAGAGATATTTCAGATTCATTTCAGATACTAAGTGATAGATTATATATACATATACACAACAGAGCATCAAAGTCTAATGTATTTGTCTACAGCTACAACTATCGCGCCAGCAAAAGTATTTCGGAATATGGATCAAAATCAACAGACAACGTTGGTAAATATAAAATATGGTTCATATTTAATCTAAATACTTTTCTATGAGACGGTAAAAGTTTAAACGTACGCAAATTTGAGAAAGAAACATAAACGTATCAAAATCATGCTTGTTACAACGGTGTAGTGTTGGCGAATTTGAGCTAAATAGTCCAGTCCGATTTCTATTCCAAAAATTACATGTTTAAGTTAAAACATATGGTTTTTCTAAATGCGGTTTGAAAAAGCATAAAAACTGGAAAACACAAGTAATGCAACAAAAATGAAATCGTAATAAAATGTGACCGAAAATGGTACAGCCAACAGACTGGATTAATGTGTATATTTCAATACTTACAACAATTTTAGTTAAATTTTACGCGCAATAAGTATATCTTGCATTAAAACTGCTAGTTTAGTTTTCTCCAAATTTAATCGTGTTTGCATTTGCAATGGTTTTCATCAGATATACAAATTTTCTCAATCTCTTGACAAGTAGACTTTTCTTACGAAGTGATATTAAAAGAAAATGTATAAAGATTACGATAAAATCAAGATATTGCAAGTAAAAAAAAACCGAAAGCATCAATGAGTCGAGTAAGTTTATAAATTGTATTTAAGTGTAGAATTACAGGAATTATACTGACAATTATTGGTCTTGGCAATTTCTTTACTAGCTTCTAAAGATCATTAGATCATCAAGCAATATATTGCAAAAAAACGAATAAAATGTGTATAAAATAAAAGAAAATGAAATTTGACGAACGACAAAAATTAAAAGCAAGTTCCTATTTGACAAATTCATGTTAATAATGTTTACAAAAAAAATCTTTAAACTCAAGTCACTATGTGAAGCTGGAGGAGAAAACGTCGTCTAACTTTAAGGGTACATCCGCTAATATTTGATGATATCTGGCTAAATTGCCCACAGTGTGTACGATGTAAAGATTCAGAGTAAAATTGACTTAAGAATCCAAATATCTATAAATGTACTGGAATACAATTTTAAAAAAGTACAGCTTTTTTACACCACGACATTAATTATAAGCAACTGTTGATGGTTGACTGCAAAGTATTGTGATTATTAAAAAGTTTGCTGGTTCAAAGAAAGCAGTAAATAATTACAATTATTAATAAACATTTCTTAGACCAGAAAACAAAATGTGTATTATTCAGGATCTTACGATTGTAGGTGTATGTCATGGAGACAACATTATGCTCTTTCTTATCATGGGAAAAATGGTGAAACGTGAACTTTTTACGCAAGAAGATAGGAAAGTATCCGCTTTACTAATGGACTTGACGGCTTCGTTCATGAAAACAGGGTGAGCATAAAGTTAACTTATAAAGAAATGTTTTTCAAACACATATTTCCACAAAAAGTATCATTAAGGAATGATTTGATGACTGTTCGGGTGAATTTGGTGTTACTGAAAAGGCACATTTGCTTAAAAAATTATCATAAAATTTGATACTAATTTTTCTGATTTTAAACTTGATTTTGTAACTAGAAACGTTGATTCATGCGTTCCGTTTATTTTCAGGTCACCGAACATTACTGTGGTATGGAAACCGATGTCGAAAAAGGCGACAGATTCTTTCAACTTATTACACATTAATAATTCCAGTAACCAAAAGTTAGCGAAAGAAAAATATATTGGACAAATGGAATTTTGGGACAGTTTGAATTTTACAGAAAATGATAAACAGGATGCATAAAACATGCAAATAGTTTAATAATTGGTTTTGTTTCAATTAACATGACAAATAAACATTTTTATGTTTTTTAATGAAATTGTTGTAAAATTATGTTGTTATGTATTAAGTAAAAAATGAATTGTTGTTAAAGTATATTTACAAAATGCAATTGGCTGAATATTCAGAAGTTAAACATTCAGAAAACCAGTAGTTTTCAAATTTTAAGTACCTACTGGAAGTTTGCGTAAGGAAGACGTCTGATGAAATAAAATAAGCCTAATAATTACTACTGAAATGGAGCAATTGGAAGGCAAAATAAATCGATCAGTGCATTTTATGAGACAACAGAGGGGAGTAGAAGTAATTAATGCAAAAATCGACGCAAAGAGGAGTAAGAAATGTCTACAGACCGTTTACAATAATCTGTGTGTTGGGAAAGCAGTCAATTTAAAGTGAATGTAACTGAAATATTTTTGCTTGAAGTTGATTTGAATTACTTATTGCAAAAAAAAAACAAAATAAAATGTCTTCTTCTTAACAGAAAAGTACTGTGTATTATTTACCTCATCTTCTCCTCATCAGATTTTAGTTACCATTGGTTGAGCAATAATATGAGCTTAAAATATGGAAATGTGCTTTTTTCTCTTTGATCTCATACTCAAAATTTCTATTGCAGATTGTGAGCGATCGTTTGTTTAAAGCTGATATAGAAACGTCCGCCAGGTTACAAAACGCTGTTGTAACATCAGATATTTACTGTTACACATTCACCTATCGAGGTAGAGTCAGCAAATCTACTGCAAGAGCCAAATCCGTGGTAAACTTAGGTAAGTAAGAAGATACAGGATAAAAGTGCAATCAATCCATCTGCATAAAAAATATTTATGAAATTTTTTTTTCTAGGAGTTTCTCACGGCGACGATACCATCTACGTCTTCAGTACTAAATTTGATACAAACTCCACTGAGAAAGACAGAGAAATGAGCAAAACTTTAATTGACATGATCACATCATTTATGAAAGAAGGGTAAGTTTGGAATCAAATTGTAAAATTCCAAAAATAGAGGCAAAATTATTATTTTAGAAAACCTAACATAACAACCAAATGGCAACCTTTGATCAAACGACACAGCGAACTGCTCAGCCAATTAAACATTGCTGGGCCAGAAGACTATGAAATGGAACACGTAAATGAAATTGGCAATCGGGAGTTTTGGGACCGCCTTCCTCTGGCAGAAAATCATAATATAAATGAGTTTTCGAATCATGAAGAATTTTAATAATACATTTTCCATTAATTAGTTTTGCGCAAAGTCGTATAGACAAACCATATATTTTGAAAAGTATTTCAAACATTAATCGTTAATTTTTTTAATCGAATACGTTGTATCTTATTACATGTTTTAGAAACGATATTTTTAGATTTTGAAAAAAAGCATTTTACCTTTTAAACAGGCTTAATAGTTTTGGACCTGAAGCAATGGAAACATTTTATTGCTCTGTTTTTGGTTCGATAATAAATATGTCTACAAACAGAAATTGTTTTTTTTGCCAAACAATGAATCTATTGAAGTGATTACAAGAGGCGCAACAGTTACCAATAAAATGATGATTTTTTTAATTTGTGTAAAATATAACACTTGGTTAGTTCTCTCACTCTTCCGTTGTCTAAAATCACAATAAGAGTTGAAACAAATTTCTGACAAAACTTCTTAATAAATCACTATAAGATGGGCTACTCCATACCAAGGCAACTAGAAATAATAGAATTAGTTAACTTCTTAAAACAATTTTAAATCATCATAAAGAAAATAAAAAAAATCGTTACTTTTCACAAAATGAAAGCAGCAGATACAAAGCCGGCTTAAACAGTTTACTATCTTTTGAATTAATTTTCCCAGTTTTGTTTTCTAAGCACACATTTTCTTTTTTTTTTGAATATACAGGGTGTCCCGTACGCACATGATCAAAAGAGTACTGCGATATTCTTTGGATCAAAAGAACGCCTTCTTTTGATCTGACCTAACTTATTAACCAAAATTGTCTGGCTCCTCTGCAATTGATGGTCAACGTTCTACAAAAAAATTAATTTTTTGGAATATCGGGAGGATTAACTCCTTCAAAATTTTATCAGGAACCACCACAACTTTTAGCATACATTAACAAATAAACAACTGATAGACTATTTGAGCAAGTCAAGTTTTGTGGTTTTAAACAGAATAAAATGCTAAAAAAATAACCAAAAATTGAACTTCCAAAAGTATTTTAAAGTGTTACGAAATGTTTATATAAAATACATAACACCTATATTTTAAATTTCCCCGACAAAAACTGCAAAACTTGCAATGGTGAAAACAAATGTATATCGAAATGTTTACAACTTCTCAACTAAAAACTTTCACTTACCCGAGTAGAAAAGGTCTGGTTTTCCCATCTAGAACGTCCGGAATATCCATGTCCTGCTCCTTCTCAGGTGAATATTCAGGATGCGAAATGTTTCAAACACTTTAGTCCAACGCACTTATTTTTAATAAAAACAACCCACTAAAAAACCTGTTTGTTTCGGATATAAATATTACGCCGACGCCCTCGAATTTATATATGTGATGCAAAAGGTCAGAAATACATCCGTTCTTTTAATGGAAAATTAGGATTTTTTAATAATGCCACGATTATAAAAACTACATCAATCGTAAAATCAATAACGTAACTTTCGAGAAATATACAAGTTTCAACTCGAAAGCCGAATGATTGCAGCTTACAACCCATTTTTTAAGACGACCCACACATACGACTTTTCTCTAAAATGGTTCACTACGAGACGACGCACTTTATTGAAAATGTTCGTGATCTGAGCATTCGGGTAGGGGAAATCTGAGCACTTCGACCGCTATCGACAAATATGTTGACAATTTATGCAACTTGTTTTCACTAGTCAGTCACTAGATAAGGGTTTCCCAAACTTTTTCGAAAATGGAACACTTTGCAACCCCATAAATTTTATCGAAACACTTGGTTTATTTGTTTAAATTTATTTCTATTGAAGTTTATTTTAAAACCTAAAAAAAAAAGCTCACCACATTTTTCAATAGCAAATATATTCAGGTTCAGCGGAACACTGGTGTTTCACGCAACTCAGTTTGAGAAACTCTGCATATTACATCTTTATGAATTGATTTATGTTTTATTTTGAAATTAAATGTTTATATTAATGTTTCTGATAAAAAAATAAAAACAGTTTGCATATTTATTAAAAGGATGGTCCGCACTAATAGAAGTAGAAAGAGAATAAAGAGTTATAGGAAATATTCGGAGCAAACTTGGAAAATATCCTTTTTGGGATTCTCAGCCCGAATATATTTGCTAGTAAACTCTATTTAAATTAAAAAGGAAGATTATTAAACCCTATTTTTGTCGCCGTTTTTTTGTTCAGTTTTTTACTACCTCGAAAGCCTATACGAAATTTTTATCACAATTGATATTTATTATGAATTTGAAGGCTTATCATAAAAAATTCTAGTCGATTCAAAATTCAACGAAAACGAAGCAGTGCGGACCGAAAGTTTATATTTGTATATAACCAGTACGTACATACAATACATACAAATGTAATGTATACATACAAAACTATGTATAATATAGAAACACTTTAGTTAAATGGATTAGTTAGGTCGTAATAGTCGTAAGTGCTTTTAAGAGTATTAAACATGTTCCTGCCCACTTGCAAGAATAACACCACAACCACAGATGGAATGGACGGAAAATAGTACGAACTAAGTTTTTAAATATTTTAATATGTTGATTTTATTAAAAATATATCTGAAAACAAATTATTAACAGGGATTAACATCCATCATAATATACAGTGGAGTAAATAAATATTACATCAAATTATACTATAATACATCTTTGACTTGTACCTCAATAGAACTATATCATCAGAGACCATATATTCTTCTGACATATTGGTAATATAATATTTAGAAGCAGTGTTCCGAACAGGCATAACATACAGAAGCAAACAAATTGCATCCAGGAAAAGGATAATTTTTTCGTTAATAAACTGAATCACCAGGATTGTGCAAAAATATATTACATGCGAACAAACAAAAACAAAAAATGTAGAAAGTAAAAGAAAAAGTAAGACTGACAGAACGAAAACATGCACAATGCTACTTCTCATCATTTGCATTGGAAGAATTAAAAAATTACGAAAATTTTGTGTGCGTTTAGCTCCTTTGTTAGCCCTAAATGTGAAGTAAAGATTTCAGAATAAGTGCCATATAAACTAACAGTTTATTGGATGCTATGCTATAACAATTTTTTTATGAAAAAAATAATAACATTTTTCAATGAAAGCTGATACCTAAACTGAATAAAAATTTCCACAGGGTTGATACTTAATTAAACAACCTGCGTTTGCAATTAGGAGTGTGTTAAAAAGATTGACCATCGGATTATGTAGAAAATATATAAAGAATAACTACAAGCAATTATAAAAAATTAGCTTTTCTAAATAAATGATAACTGAAAAAAATTGTTATTTACCTATATATTTTATTAAAAATTATAAACCGTATTTCCGTCAAATAAAAGAATTAAAGAATCGAACTCACTAAACATTAAAAAAATTAAAATCTCCGAACGAAGGTTCGAAGGAAAAGAATTTGAAACATATTCAATCCATAGTAAACGCGCACAGAAGAAAGCAAATTGCGATTATTGGCGTAATCGAAAAGTATTCAATGCTATGCCTGAACATCTGTACTTAGAAGACACGATTTAGAACAAAACGAATTAAGTTCCATAATCCTTGAACTAGAAAACCTATACAGTCACACCCACTTCTCCTAGAATATCTGAGAGCCTTTCAAGATGCACTGTCACTGAACTAGAATCTTTATTTTTTTGGCTTCTGTTAAGAAGCTGTAATGCATTCATATATTCAAGTTCGCTAAATTCAGGTCCCTTATCGACTATCCCATTCAATATTTCCTGAAAACAAAGACAAGTGGTGGTACGCATCTGAATTACCTGCAGGAATATGAATAAATCAGTACGTACCTCTGGTGTTAAGAAAAACAGTTCAAAATAATGGCGAGCGTGATCCAATGCGAGCTCTCTAGTCATAGTAATATTTGTAAGAGTTTGCTGAAGGGCAAAAATATTTCTGCACATACGCTGAATTCCTGCGTCATTTATGACTTGTATGTACTGAGCCGAACTAATAAGAATTTTTGCTATCAAATGGCCCAATCCTTCGAAGATGTACTGCAAATTAATCAAGAGAACCAATAAGCAAATTCAGTATTACTCATTGAGAAATTCAGCTTACCTTGCATTTCCTTGGGTGTAAACTGCTAGTCATGGCTTCGTCAACATTTGCTAATACTTTACTCAATTCAGATACTTTAGGATCTGGCTCGTGGGAATCTTTATTATAATGAGCCTGTGCCAGTAGATAATGGAAGCACTGAACCCTCACCTAAACATTATAGACAAAATTGTATTAATTATTTTAATAAAAAAAAAACAATTTACCTCCAAGTGCAATAACATCAGACATGTGTTAGCTAGTTCATCAAACTCTTGTGCAATACTAGTCAGCTGATGTAGCGTGGAACTTGAAACCGGAGGCATTAAGTCATTGTGACTATTATTGTCTGGTTTAGGTGGAGATAGTCTGGATGGTTCTAATCTGAACTCGCTCGTATACTGGAACATTCTTACAGAAAACCATTCCTGTAAAAATATAGGGAAGTCAGAGATCCGTAGCCAGAACTACTGTTTACTATTTCAGGGTGGTTCTACCCTAAAATAGTAGGCACCTGGCACCTATCCAATAATCTTTTGCGCATTCACCAACCTATACAATATATAAGGACAGCGCCGTAATTCCCATTTCTCAAGAAAATAATCGAACAAATGGAATGTGAACACAAAATCACAAATAATTAAAATTTCATTAACATTAGCAAAAATAGTTATCGACTTGTCTTAAGAGACATCTATAAATTAATACAACAAATTTGGAATTACAGTGTGAAACAATGATTTAGGTTCACCCACTTTTTTGGCCTTAACTCATAAACTACCAAACCAAATGAGCTCATCTTTTTAGGAAATACGATACATATGACCAGTAAAGTTGTGGCGAAATGTCGTTTAACCAGCTTTTCTTTCAAACACTATTATTTTTTTCAAATGTACGGATTTTCTGACCGTAACAATGATTTAGGTTCACTTGTAAAAATCGTAAGTTTTAGAAAGTCAAACGCATTAAATGACGAGGGGAAAGGTAGAGCATGAGCTTATAAACAAGTTGGAATGATCCATCGTGAAATTGCTCGTTCTCTTAACTTTGTACCCAATTTGGTCCGACTAGGCGACGAATACGGAAGGAAGGCTCCGGGTAGAATCCCAATTCTTTCGGCACCCGAAGAAAGAGGGATTAGAGCGATAAAGTAAATAACTAATATAAAATAAAAGTAAATTTGAAATAAGCATTTCCAAAATAATTCAAGAAAGAAAATTGAATCAAATAGTGCTGGAAGCTATTCAGTGTTTTCAAATCGCATTTTCTTCAGTGAATTAATTAAAATTACAACGTATTTTTAACTCACCATACTTTCTTGCAATGTTGCTAATTCCTTTAGAAGGGAGATATCAGATAAAATTTCACTAGATGAAACACCTACCGAAAAATATAGATTATTGGTAGTATAAAATATATTATATTAAAAAAATAACCGTTAATCTCGTTATTACCTCCTTCCCCTAAATTACTGGCCAGTATTTCTGCTTCCTTTCGATTCCTCATTCGAACATCTTCTGGGCTCTCTTCTTCTGATGGTTGATCTCTTAAAATCTTTCTTCCTAAAAAATAAACAAGTAAATTAATACTTGTTTTATATTACAAATGCAGAAACGCAAGGTTTCCGAAACTGTGTTCCGCTCAACCTGAACTGGTGTTCCGCGATAATTCGGAAATGTTTATACACTACAAGTCATTTAAAGATATTTTACTTCACATTGAAACGCGAGAGTGAACTTATTATATAGGATATATTGTAGTATAAGTATTCCGTTAAAATTTCTGGGTTTGCAAAGTGTTCCCTTATAGAAAAAGATTGGTAACGTGAATCGTGAAATTTAAACAACGCAACAATTAATCAATCTAGAGGAAAAAATATATACTAGAGAAAATATATACAGAAAAAAATTGAAAACAAAAGAACAAATATATTTACACACCTCTTTCGCTTCTGGCATGATATTCTTGTTGGGCTTTCAAATTGAGCCAATTTGGTAAAGACCTGAAAAGGAGGGAAAAATTTAAATTGAAATATAAAATTATAATCTATTCGAATACATATTTTTCCAGTATTCCTGAAATTAACTCAACTAGGCACAATTGCGATGCGTATTAATATATTGTTCGTCTTATTTAGAAATTTCTCATAAATCATAATTCAACTATAATATAATAAGTTCAAACAACATACTTTAAAAACCTGTTAATATCCTCATCCTTCAGCCATGCAGCACTACATATTCGCTTATCTTCCGAATGCGGCTGAACCATTCCTCTATAAGCAGCATAGCAAGTGTCTTTATATTCTTTCAAAACGTTTACGGAATAGTCGGCAATTTTTTCGCTATACAAAGGAAGAGATTGAAGAATAGCTTTCCATTCTCGTATACATCTTTCTACAGTAACGGTGCTCTGTAAAAAAGGTATGCTAATAGTCCTAAATTAATGGACAAAAAAGTCCTTAATTAAAAGCGATCAAGTTGTTTACTTGACGCTATTCTGCTATTTTGGAAAATTCTGTTGATGGACAGGAATACTCACAACTAGAAGAGGCTTGTATCCAGCAGATACGTCCAAAAGAACTGTATTTTTCCAAGCATCCGCTGCTTTAAAAGCATTTTCGACCTGCTCAATAATTTCCTCGGATTTTCGTTTCAAATAAACATTTGATATATGCTGAGTGATGTAGCCATACAACGAACATGAAGCATGTGCCATACCTAGAATGGAAAAATCACTTCTATTATAAATGAAAAAACAACATTTCGTTAATCGTTGAATGGAACTCACCTAACATTTGTTCGATATCTTCGGTAAAGCACATGAAAGGAATGAACACTACCAGTATATTATTGGGGTGCGAAGAACAGATTAACACTTTTTCTTTCTTGGAAGATTTTAAGGCATTGCTGAGGCTAAGAGCACTTGAGGAACCTTCGAATTTAAACAGGCTTTTTTTCTTACTGAAAAAACCGAAATTTCAGCGAAAGCTTTACTAATTTGGCTATCCATTACCTCTGCTGCTTTCTTCGTGAAAAATAAGCCGATATGTCACCACTTTCTACAGTTTTATCAGTTTGCAAAGCTGTGGACATATTTTGCAAATCCAGATAATCATTTAAAAATATTTGCAGCTGTAATTAATAGAAGTCAATTATTTGGAACAAATTGCTTGCAAATAGTAGCACTAACCACTTCTTGAACTTGAGACCAATAGTACTGTAACCCATATGGTTTTAAATTAATTCTATGTATCTTAATTCCTTTGTCTACCCATTTTAGAAATATCAAATGCGAATCAGCAATTTCCTTGAATTGATCAAATAGAATATTGATCAACTCTTTGAGCGCCAATTTCGAATCAACGTTTTCAGCATAATCTATAACATGTTGGGTAGATTTTTGGATAATATGAGTTAGCGAGGCCTGCATTTCTCTTACCAATTCCTAGAACACTCCAACACATTAAATATGAATCACATTTTATTGAACTCGCAAATACTTACATCTAAAGTATATGGCAATTTTTCCAGCAAACATAAACTCTTTACCAATATTGAAACATACTGTCTGTTGTTTTCATCGATATTTAAATTTTCTAGGTCTTCTTCTAAATTGAAGTCGTCACTGAATAGATCTTTACTGCCAACTCTTAAATATATTGATCAATATAATCAAAAGCTTTAAACTACTAATTGGTATCTCACTTGGACAACTCATCCATAAGGTTTCGCGACACATTGCTTCGATTTCTTCCACTTAATCTACCTTTCATACTTCTTTGCAACGGTGAGTGTATTAAAAAGCCATCTCTCCCTGAACCCTGTCTCCTCAATGTTAGTATATGCTGGCAAGGTTTAGTATACAAAATATTCTTAAGTTCTGACAAGATTTGCAGATGAAGTTGCTATAAAGGAATGGTTCATTTTCATTAACATGAAATTGTAAGCTGCAAAAAGTAAGAACCTCTTTTCGTTGTTCCAATTCCTGGCTTAACTCCTTCAGACTTTCCACGCCTTCCAAAGGGTCTTTTCCTAATTTTACAGCTTCTACCAGCAGTTTGGTTGCATGCAGAAACCTTTTATGTGACATGTGAGTAGCCAACTGACTAGGAATATTGTTCATTTTTTCACTAAAATTTAATTTATGTTACCGTTAACATTTAATTTCATTTAAATAAAAAATAATCTTACATTTCTTGCAACAATTGAAGCATATATTTATATTCTAACCCTTCCATCCATAGGGCCTTTAATTCGTCTCTTTTACATCTTAACTTTTTTTTACAATCTTGTAACATCTCTTTCACCGTATGTATTTTGTCTCGATTTTCAGTAACAGATTGTGATATTGTTCCGAATAAGCGCATTACCTAAAATAATTGTCAAATAATTGTATAATTCGACAGTCTATTGCGAGTTTTAACAGCTTTTATTGATTTGGGTAATAATTAATGTTTTTATGTTTGCATTTTAATTAAATCTAGAGCTTCTGAACTGAAATTATAATTACAACACAATGGTTTAGTTGATGAAGAGTTGTTGCTTTTCTTACCTGTGTAAGATCATTTTCATGATGAGAAACTAGGCGATCCAATTTTTGATCACAAACTTTAAAATCGGCTTCAAGCTTTGCTTTTTCTCTGTCTCTTTGCTCATTTGTCTCGCTGGCAGACAATGTTCTTATTACAGACATTAAGAGCCCACTCTATAATAAAATAAGACATTCTCTTAAAAAAAATTATGTCTACACGTTTTCACCTGATCAATTGAAAAAATACAAAGAAGCAACTCAAGAACTCCAAGAGCGTTTGGATAAACTTAAAAAATATTGCGAAAACCCAGATCTTTATGAGTATATTCCAGGAAGCAATACTAATAAAGAGCTACAAATTCACCGACGATACGCTACATCAAAAAAATCATGCAATTTTTTGTATCCATAATTCAGGGTATCTAATGGAATTTGTGAATTATTTCATGTAGATTTAAAATATATGTTTTCTTTGCTTAGCTTAATATTTTGTGCTTTTCATTCCTTGTAATAAACTACTTGCTTCTTTGTTTAAAATTTCAATCTAGTTAACAAAAAATCGATTTAAAAATGTGCATGGGATACCGATATTAATGCATATTTAAATTCCCGAGAACATTCTATTTATTACGTTTTATTATTACTTAATTTAACTATAAATTTATTACAATATTGTATTACATTATTGTAATAAATTTATAGTAATTTATAGTAAATTTATATGACTGTGTTCAAAATAAGAAAGGCGGAGAGTTATTGAGATATTTGAAGCAGTAAGTGATACGAATTAGATGAATAGTTTCAGTGGTACTCTGAGGAATAATATAAGCAGAAAAATTACGCCTTTGAATTTCATTTTCTTAAATAATTTGATTGCTTATCGAAAAATTTGTAAAATAAAAGATCCTCGCTTGTTGCACAGAATATTCAAGCAAAGGAATCTTTGAGATATTAATGAAAATTCAAATTTTGATATCTTGGACCTCCTTTATCTCCAAATCCACACTTTCTCGGATACAGGCTTATATAAAAATTTCTATTTAAATTCTAATCTTTTGGAATTACGGCCTGTCATCAAATAACATCCTGTATTATGAAATAAAGTTCTTTTAAATTAAGACAATAAAAAAGTTGCTGGATAAATAAAGAATTATTTATTATTTTACTATACTGTCTTGCGACTATCATAGAATTTCATATATTTGTGTTTTGCTTCTGTTGCAACTAAACTAAATATTTCAAAAAATCTCAACTTTTATTGAAATTAATGAATCTAATTTTATTAATCGCATATGTCGTTTTAAGCACAAGTTTATTTAGTCTCAACCAACAACAATAAATAATTTGACATTATAAGAAAGCAAATAATTTTGGAACTTGTTTATTACTTACCTACTTTTAAATATAGGAAGAATTATGAACAATGTCAAATTATTAAACTAAATTAAGCAATATTGTATAACAAGATTCTCAACCAGGTATAATGAAAGATAAATAGATTGCAATAGAACATATAGAATGATATTACAATTTTAACAAAAAAGGAAATTGAAAACGCAATAATATACAGAGTAAATAATTAGTAAATTTGTATATTAATTAAGTAGTAAGATTTTTCCTTGTTTTTTGTTCTGTGTAAAAACAAAAGTAAGGTCAAAATATGCATGTCTAGCTATAATTTTAATAGATTTCGAATCAATAATTTTAAATAATTATGCAACTTGTGATCCTGACCGTGTGATCAAGCTATATAAGAATATTATAAAACAGATAACAAAGTTAACATTTATATTTGGTCTATGATAAAATATATTATGGTAATTACTCCCTATTAAAATACGACAGCAAACGAACCTCAGATGCGCAGAGATGCAAAATATTGTAGTTATCGCCGCAAACTTAGTTAAATAATGCTCATGAGAGTATTAACATGTAAATGAACCTTTGCATGGTATGTTTAATTTACCACTATGTGCGTAATTTTTCTGAGCTAACCAGTTGATAGATCGGTTTTGCGTCAGTATCTAGAATGAGCCTTGTTAAAAACTGAATTGAATATAATTTAAAAACATTGCACACAAATTGATATACCTAGTAAATAAGATCACACCTGCATGTTTGTGTACGCAAATAGAACTCATGCGATACAAAAATAGCAAATTAAGTGAACTTAACGTTCGTAATATCTTCAAATAAATGAAATAAAGTAGAAAGGGTGCGATTAAACATACAGCCCAAAATTAAATTGGTTTCCGGTGATAGATCACAAGAACTACAGGAATCTTAATATGGGGCAAATATCTCGAAGGGCAACAGGCTGGATTATTTCGTACTTACAGTCTCCTTGACAGGCTTCACACCCCTTGGGGGCTTAATAGGGGGCGAATCCATATCACTGCCTAAATCATAAAACTATATAACTGAATTTAAAAACAACACCCACATTATTTTTGCTTAGAATCTATTGACAAAAACGTCATTAATAAACTTAACCATACTTTTTTGTTGTGAGTCGTGACATATCAATAGCGTATTGCCAGCTTGTTCAGCTAGGCAAGCTATTCAGATTATTGGATATAGCTTCTGATAATTATTATTCTGATATAGTTATTTTATATTAAATTGTGAATAAAATCATGTAATTAACAAATTATAACTGATGTTAGTGCCTGCGGTAAAATGTGATGAACAATTTGTTTATTATTGAAAAATATTTTTAAATTATTAATCAGGTTTAAAGGAAATAGTCACGGTGTGGCAACGCTGGACCTTACGCCAAAAGAACAGGACCCAACTGGCATTTTTCTGATTTTAATAATGATCACATTTTACAATTTAATTTTTTTTTACTTCCTTTATATTTCAGAAAATTAAATTATAAATACATGCAAGGTGTAAAATAATTGCGACAAAGTAAAATGTTTGCTTAATTACAATAATTATAGCCACGTGTGGTTATTTTTGACCTTCACTAACAAAGAGCGAAAAGCGCAAAAATTGGCAATAAAATGATTATCTATAAAGTGATCATTTTGATAACTTCTAACGATATTTCCTCTATATACTTTTTTGACCCATCTGCTTTTCTTATTTTTGAGAAACGTAAATGCATGATTAATTTTGAGTAAATATGTATAATTGAGTAATGCAAAATTGTGAATAATATATTTAGAGACGTTTCTTCTAGTACGGTAAAAGTAAAGGTAAAAACGTATCTTGTGCTGTTTTGCGTATTTATTGCATATAAACTCATTTATAACATTCTTTGCAAATTATCATCCTGCATAAGAACAACAGGTACTGAACAACAATCTCTTGACCCTGAAAAATTTCCTAAGTAACAAACAAATGCCTCATCAACAAAATTTTCATTCGTTTTTCATGACGCGTGTCATGTGAAAAATTGCTTTAAAATTATAGTTGATTTATAATTTTGAGTTTAATAATCCCAAAATTTAAGTTTCCAAATTATGGTACGTATAATATCAACTTTTAATCGAGCAATTTATAATTGCTCAATATTTGATCATAAATACAGATAAATCTTAAGGTCTTAACAGTAAAAATTTCTAGTAGAATAACAAACATTAAAATTAATGAGCTAACGTAGATGTAAACTGGCATAGTTCATACCCATGTACCCATTAAAATTATTTTTTTATTCATTAATATCACGTAAATATTATGGGAATACTTTCCATTTGCAGAGGGAGTGCATTTCTGTCCACATCGGACAAGCAGGAGTTCAAATCGGAAATTCAATGTGGGAATTGTATTGCCTTGAACATGGCATTCAGCCGGATGGAACTATATTGCCCCAAAAAGAAGTAAGATCAGATAATTGCTATGGAACGTTTTTTTCTGAAGTGGAAAATGGAAAAATGGTACCCAGAGCTATTATGGTTGATCTCGAACCCACTGTTGTAGGTCAGTGTCAAACAACTTAAAAAATGATAATATGATCAAAAAGGTCTAGCTAAACCAAGTAAAAAAATAAAAAAGCTGTATAATTTTTTTAAGGATTCTTGACAATTTTCTTGGTTGAAAATCGACAAGTAATTCAATGAAATTGAGATTTATGTTTTCAGAGCATATGCGAAAAACTAGAAAATACAAATTATGTGCATTGAATCACTCACTACCACAATCAAAGTATTCGAGTATTCAAATATTCGAGTTATGACTACACATAATTATTCGGTTTTTGAATATTCGAATATTCGAATACTCGAATACTCGAATAATCGAATACTCGAATGATCGAATACTCGAATACACCAACATTATCAAACTCACGAGGTGCAGATATCTTTATATGCACTTTGTATACTTTTATAAAATAAAAGGTTCATATTCTACAAGCATTTAAACAAATATGTACCCATATATTTACAAGCAAATGAAAATAATCATATTTACTTTCCTGCAAATGAATATAAAATTACGTCTCTGTGTTCTGGTGATTCGCGTCATCAACTTGATGATATCATGATGATCAACTGATAGAGCCAAAAAATATCATTAAATCGAAAAAAAAATCAGCGTAAACATTATCGCAAAGTATGCAAAAAATATGTAAAGTGCTCTATTAGTTTTAGATAGGTACGATTTTTAAACACTGCACTAAAAAAGCAAGTCCTGCACGGCGCCGATTATAATTATGATTTTATAATAACTTAAAATATTTACACTTAATTAAATAAGTTTAACTAGGTAGTAAGCGGTCCAGCTAAATTTAATTAAATACCTATGTCAGAAGAAATCTAGAACAGGAGTGTGTAAAAGAAAAGTTTGAAATCGTCACATCTGAAAAACAGCTTTATAATCTAGCTTCTAGCTGTATAAATAAAACATACTCTTTAGCTTTAAAAATAATGAATATATCACCCATTTGGGCATAAATAGAAGCATAAAATATATGCGCCCCTAAGAGGATTCAACTGCTTACTGAATTACAAAATCGGGACTTTACTCAAAAATATTACTATTTTTTCCAGTGAAAAGATTAAGTTAAGTAGGTAGATGTATTTTATTGACACTTTATTCATTTCATTAACACTGTGCAATGTATTTTAGACGAAGTAAGGACTGGGTATTACAAGAAACTTTACCATCCTGAGCAAATGATAACTGGAAAAGAGGATGCCGCAAATAATTATGCTCGAGGACACTACAGTATTGGTAGATTTTTCCAGGATAACACTAAAATTTAAAAACTTAAATCCTTTACCTGCTTTTGACTGTAGGTAAAGAAATGCTAGGCATTGTTACTGAGCGGCTTTATAAACTAGCCGAAAACTGTTCGGGATTACAAGGCTTTTTCGTCTTTCATTCTTTTGGAGGAGGCACTGGGTCCGGATTTACGTCTTTGTTAATGGAGAAACTCAGCCAAGACTTTGGAAAAAAAAGTAAACTGGAATTTGTTGTTTACCCCGCGCCTCAAGTAAGTTATCAAATTACTTTTTGTAAAAGGTTTTTAAATATTTAGAATCCTAAAATGTTATTAGAAAAATGACCCTATAAATAGAATAATGTTTTTATATTTAGGTTTGCACGGCAGTTGTAGAACCGTATAATTCAATTTTGACTACACACACTACTTTGAGCCATTCTGATTGTGCTTTTATGGTGGACAATGAGGCGATTTACGACATTTGCCGCACAAAATTGGGAATTGAACGACCCCATTATCTTAATTTAAATCGGTACAATTTAAGAAACAGTCAAAAAAATGTTTACTCTATTTCACTGTTTTGATTTACAGGCTAATAAGTCAAGTTCTTTCATCTATTACAGCATCTTTGAGATTTGATGGCGCTCTGAATGTTGATCTGACGGAATTTCAGACTAACTTGGTAAAAACTAAATATATATTTAAAAACTGTCCGCTAACATAACGTTTCATTCCCGTAAAATTTTGCTTAGGTACCTTATCCCAGAATTCACTTCCCACTTGCTTCCTATGCTCCAGTGGTATCATCGGAAAAAGCTTATCATGAAGGCATGTCGGTAGCGGAAATAACCGCTGAATTGTTTGAACCAACCAACCAGGTACTGACTGGGTAGTTTTATAAGTAAGGTCTGGGTAGCACTGTGTTGAGTTGCTATTCGAGTTGTTGCCGCTCTCTGACTTAGTAAATGCTTTAATAAATGAGTTATAACTCATTTATTAAAGCGGATTAAAGCTTTTCCTCACGTTATTACAGATTAATAACCAGTTCTCTTATCTCGCAATAATAACGAATTATTTATCAAAATGTAATCAAGAACTATCACCTAGAGGGTCCCCTGCGACACATTTAGGCTCAAGCTGTAAGAAAAAATTCCAATTAGTAAAGAAATTAATTTAAAAAATTACCTTGGCGTTTCGATAGCTATGTTAATAAATTGTATAACAATAGTAGGAGAATACAATATGTAAGAATTCGCTCTGGTAAAAAAAAGGAAACAACATTTCTCCAGAAATGGAACCGAGTTACTGCGCCAGTGCGTTGGGTTGGCGCACAAAGCCATTTGCGCAGCACTGCGCCAACTCCTAAAAATTTACTAAGTTACCCAGGCTTACTTACTAAGTATTACTAAAATTATTTTTTTATATGAAACAAACAAACATTATATCAAAAACCTACCTGGAGGATTCTTAGGCCATCATAATTTATTTCAGATGGTCAAATGCGATCCGCGCGAAGGAAAATACATGGCATGTTGCCTTCTGTATAGAGGCGATGTGGTACCAAAAGATGTAAACGCATCAATAGCCTTAATGAAAGCTAAAAGTAATGTGAGATTCGTCGATTGGTGTCCTACAGGTAACGTGTATCAACCCAAACCCGCCATTATCTTAAAAAGAACTCCATATTTTCAGGATTCAAAGTTGGTATCAATTATCAGCCTCCCACAGTCGTAAAAGGAGGTGATCTAGCTACAGTACAACGAGCAGTTTGCATGCTATCCAATACAACCGCCATTGAATCCGCGTGGAAAAAGTTGAATAAAAAGTTCGATCTGATGTTTGCGAAGCGGGCATTCGTACACTGGTACGTAGGGGAAGGTATGGAAGAAGGAGAATTTTCCGAAGCACGTGAAAACCTTGCCGCGTTGGAACGAGACTATGAAGAAGTGGCATCTGATACAACTGAGCTCATTTCTGAAGAACTAGCTTAAGTAAATCTGATAGACGTAAATTATCAGTCACATAATGTAAAAAGCTAAGCTTTGCGCACTCACTTTTCGCCTCCATCCACTTTAAATCATATCCTAGATCTCTCCAATTTTTACATCTTGTCATACTCAAATACATCCATAAAAACAACGCAGCGATATTTATTTCTGACAAAACTTATTTATTAAATAAGTCTTGGTCCGTTTGAAAGTAGTTTTTTTCAAGCTCGAACTGATATCTGGTAAGAGAAATTTGGTAAACTGTTAATAAAATTCCACTTTAACTTAATTAAATATTTTAATCACTTCTACACTTTGAAATTAAATCCGATCGTTACAGATGCACCTTAAAGAAAGAAATGTTTTAGGGTATGGATTTACTATTTTAATTATAAAGATAATGAGATCACAATAAATGACTGGAATTCTTAATAGGTACGTAAAATACAGGTAATCATGCTTTTTTCTATAATATATAGGTAAGTAAATTGATAATCACTTCTTCAGTATTTGGTTTAGTCTATCAATTTCTGCTCCTAGCGTATCAACATTTTCCTGCAAAAATATTCGTTTTTGAAGTGAAATGCAACGAGGTCAGAAAAATTAATATACCGACTTTTAGCGTTATGTTCTTCAGCAACGCATCCTCTAAAACAGCTTGCAGCTTCCGGTTAATGTCAAGTGATAATTCGAGGGTTAAATTTTGATCGCATACTCTGCTACTGTATAGGGATGCCATAACACCATTTAATTTGGCTAACTGCGCCTGAAATAAATGTATAATAAAATATTTATAATTTAAATACATACTGAAAAGTCAAAACTAAAAAACCTGCTAAGGTGGCTTAGATATTAGATTTAAGAAGTCGAATAAATAACGCTATCCAAACATATCAGATTAATATTGGTTTTTTTCCTGAGCCTTATGTATTCCATTTTTGGACGTAGGCCTCCTTCATATGTTTCCAGCTATTTCGGTTCTGTGCTTTGGAATGTAAAAATTACTGTAAAAATGTTCGGCTGTGTTATTTCTTCACTATTCGTTATTTCGTTCCTCGCTTGATCATTCAAGGCTGTTATTTGTTTTTTATAGATGTTCTTTTTGAGACTTCTAAGGTCTCTATTTTTTTCTAGCAGTTTTTTAACTTTATTTTCATAGTGTTCATTTAGATCGTCCTTATTGTCTCTTTTGCTAACATTCTAAGTTCTTCCAATTTTTTCTCCTTTAATAGTTGTCTCTTTTTTTAAATAATTTTCTTTGTTTCATCCCCAAGCTTGCATGTTTTTTCTCTTTTCTGCTCTGCTATGCTTAGTAATTGGCTGGTTTTGTCGATGTTATTTTTGTCGTGAGTTTTCTCCATTCCTTTTTCAAGTCTTTTCCGGTATCTTTCCGAAGTTTCCTTCATAGTTTTTTAGATCTATAACTTGTTTCTTTTGTTTGAGAAACTTTGGTTGCTCTTCCTCCGTTCTAGCTTAGTATTAACAGTTACTTTGGCTCTTATCATTCGGTGATAGCTGTTGATATTGCAACAATTTAGAGCAGTAACATCTTTCACTACTGATTTATTACCGGAGAGAAAATGATCAATTTCACTTTTTGTATTACCATCCGGACTTCGCCAAGTCTTTGTTTCGTTTTATTAAAGAATTACGCCATCGAGTATAACCGATGTTCGGTTATAAACTCCAGCAGTCGCATAATATTGTGTATACTCCCATACATTTTTATTAATTTTAATTAAAACGAAAAATATCACGGACAAAATAAATTAAATTCCTTTTAGTTAAAATGGATTTCAATCAACATCAAACATTATACTTACCATAACTTCTTCTGGTCCACAATGAAGGCAAAAAAAAAAGATTTTAATTAATTTATTATACATAAAAGTATATAGTTTTAATTTGAAAAGAATGTTTAAATCAAATTAAATCTGTACAATCAGTCGTTTTCAGTATAATGAATGAAACTCAACATGCTGTAATTTAAACTAAAAGCAAATTTATTTATTATGTTTACTATTTGTTACGAAATATGAAGACGTGAAATTAAATGATGAAAACTTATCACTTATAAAACCCTTGGATAATTTATTCGTTCCGAAATTATTAAATTTACAATTAAAACGCTAAAAACGGGACGCTGAAATCGTTTAAAAATATTGCGGATACACACTTACTTTATTATTATCCATGCTGTTCGAGCTGAGAGTACCAGCCTGTTCTCTTAATACATAGCCCTGTAATAATTTAGTCTTTTTTTGAATTTCCGAAACCAGATTATTCACATGCTCCTCTAGAAAATCAATTTTTTCTGACTTTTTAGCACTTATTCGCTGTAATTTCACTATATGCTCTATGAGCGTTTGCTTGTCTATGGTTGGCTCTGGTTGTATTACCTAAAAAAATGTTTTATAAAAATAATACCATTATTAGGAATGCAATAAACACATACTTTCACATGTTCGGTGTCACATAAATTTTGAGCATGCCCATTAACATTTAAGGATGAGCTAGAGTTACTACTATTTGTTGACGAATCACCCGCCTCGTAGTGTTCTAACTTCCTTCTGCAATGGTGAAGTTCTTTGTTCACTTCCTAAAATGCATTTAAAATCCAGTTATTAAACCACAATCTATCTTAGCAAACAACCGTGCGTACCCTCATACTTAAATCGAACTTTCTTTTCATCACTAAATTTTCGCCTTGCTGATCAGCAACATCTCTTAATGCAACATCGAGTTTATTTTGCGTTTCTTTTAAATTTTTAGTGAGTGATTCGGATTCTGTTGCATTTTTAGATCTTTCCTGTTCAAGTGTTGAATTTAAAATAGAAATTCTAGTTTCGTGCTCCTTAAGCTGTCGCTTTAAAACAGTTTGCTCACAACTTAGTTGCTGTACCTAAAATGAGTAAACCATGTTAGTATTTTTACTATGATTAATTTGGAACATACTTTTGTCTCAACGGCTGTGAATTCGGATTGTAGTCTCACATTTTTATCGGTTAATTGTTGAGTAAAAACCAGCAATTCTGCTTCTCTCACTCGACAAGAGTCCATATCCGATTCTATTTCTTGATTTCTTTCCTTTAAACGTTCAATTTGCTCATTTGCAGCCTGCAACTGCTCTTCCTCGCTGAAACAAATTAGAATAGATATACAGTATAGATAACTAACGTTAATCTTGAATACTGTTTTAACTGCAACTTCACTTGTTCGAATTGTACATTTTTGGTCTGCAAATTTGCGGCATCCTGGCGTTGCAAATCCTGATATCCCCTAAGTTCACTTAGCTTTTGTTCATTCTCCAATCTAAAAGTCTAAAATTATAGTAAACTTAAGGAGAAACTCGCATTACTACCTTTCTCTTTCCAGGTGCTGCACTTTCAAACTTAAATTATTGTTCTCTTCAATAATTTCTTTGTGTTTTGACTGTAGTCGCTCAAGCTCGGACTGCAACGATTTTACGTGTTGGTCTTTATCAGATTTTTCATGTCTCAAAAGAATAAGAGTTGCTTGTTGCTCTTTAACTTGCTGATCTAAAATTACATATTTAAAAAAAAAACTACTGTTGTTGAAAGTTTACAAATAGCTATTGAAAATTTAGAATAGATGTGCTCCAAAGCGAAAAGATATTGTAAACTCATTAGAGAAGCACTCAATCATAAGAAAAATGTTGCATTAACAAACCTAATTTCTAACATCCAGCATTCTTAGGTAAAACTAAAAGCAAATATACCTAAAACATATGCCCTATTTTCTTGTGAAGTCATGAAGTTCTTTACGGTTTCTTCGGCACTTTTCTTAGCAGCCTCAATTTGGTTAACGGAATCTTGAACCTTCGCATTTAGAGCGTCAGCCTAAAGAAGAAAATAGTTCAAGCTAAATTCATGATAAAGAAATTGCTAATGAATTATAGGAAATGGTGTGTACACACTGGCTTAAATAAGTTAAAGATTTAGTGAGTCATGTAATATTAGTTTAGATAACTAACCCTTGCTTGGATTTCTCTATGCGCCTCAATTTCATTTTTTAAACTGTTTTGATTCCATTTCAATTTAGTTTCTAGATTGTTCAAGTCTTGCTTCGCCTTATCAAATTCCAACTGAACGTTTTTGTACTCATAACACTTATTGTCTAACATTTGACAAATTCTACTTTTCTCTGATATCATAGTTTGTAGTTTATGCTGCAGTAGTTCATATTCTTTATGCAAATCTTTATATTTCTTCTCGGCTTGCTCTTTCTGCTGGCGTTCCTTTAAAACATTGTTTTCGCCTACTGCATACCTATAAGATATTTTATAATTACAGTAAACTCAAGCAATACAACATATTGCTTTACCTAATAACAATATTTTCTTTTTCCTTTATAGCAGCATCTTTCTGTTTAATTGCGGTTTCAAGTTTGTGTTCAATATCCTTTCGAAATGTTTCAAGTTTTGCACATTTTTCCTCAATAAACCTGATGGTATCAGTATTCTGTTCAATAACATTCTGTTGATATGATACTTTTTGTAAAAGCTCATCAATACTATTATTCTTGATGTAAGCTGGGGAATTTAAAGTAACTTTTTCGACTTTTAAAATATCTGACTGATTGCTGTTGTTTGAGTGGCTTAGTTGTTCATTATTTGCTGCAATAAAATAATATTTCTAGAAATAGGGTATATACATATATATATTTAAGTGAGAAATTCAAATGAGGCAGACTTAAATTTAGTCAAAACATTAAGTTTATATTGCGACCTGTTGTAGATGCAGGTAAGTTTGCTACTTAAAAAATATGCAGGTATACAGAAAAATATAATAATAAGCAGCTTAATGAGTTTTTCGAGATTATATTCCGCCGTGCATCCTCAGAGGTTCTGCTCGAATAGTTACGCTGAACTGATAAATAACTGCGTCCTAAAAACTTGCCAGTCTCAAGGAATTAGGCTAATGCAAATGTGTTTTCCTGATCCTGTTGGTTGAAAATATACGAGAAAGTATGTAATGTAAAATATTAATGAAAATACGGGTGGAAAATCTACGAAGAATTGGCCCTCAAAGGAAAAATGCGCCTTTCGAGATTATCGCAGTGTGTTGTGATTTAAAGATTATAGCAGTGATTATGGGATTATGTGAATTTGGTGGAATTACACACCAAATAGCAAATTTTATAGCAATTTAAAACTTGATATAAATGAGAAATTTTCATCTCTCATACCTGGTTTGGTTTCCGATTGACAGACATTTTTACTCCTATCCTGACTGGAAACTTCAGGAAGTTCATTATCTACACTTTCCCCCTGATTGTGCTTCTGTAAATCGCTATTCGCTTTCATAGTTGAACAATTTTCTGTTCCAGATAACATATGTGGCAAGTTAATCGAACAATTTAAGTCAGTTTTTCGCAAATCTGTCAAGTATACACACTCATATATTAACAGAAAATAAACAAACAACTAAGCGGAATTATTTGTAAACAAGATTTTAAATTAGCCATAAGTTAATTAAATAATCTGATTTGAACAGATCGATTAAAATTGTCAACAGTAATTTAGGTTAGGGATAAACAGAAATGTCAAAACCGACAGGAAAATTGCAGTTCTTCTTCAGTTTGGATGTCAAAAAGCATAAAGCAGCAACAGGGCTATCGTGTGTTGTCAAAAACTGTTGACAGAAAAACGTTCGAAATGAAAATGACAACATCGCTGTTAATTTTTTAGGGTAAAAGATGATCTTAATTTTCACAAAAAATGTAAAAATTTCTGCTTTAATATAAGTAATAATATTCGGCATTTAGGCTTCGTTCCATACACAATACAGTTCAAAGTTATCATGTAAGTTTTCATTTATAACATTTTTATAATGGAACTTGTATTTATTTGCCTGTTTGTATAAATTCCTTATATTTTTTTCAGTCCAAAGCCATAAATTATTTAGAATAACTCGACCAAAAAAAAGAAACCACATAAAATGAGATATCATCACTTAGTATATTAAAGCAGATGCCAAACAGCACTCAAGTAAAAATTTTAAGTTAACATATTTATTAAAGAAGGTAGAATGAATGGAACTATGTTTTTTGATTCGATAAACACCAGAGATCAATCGCTTTTTGCTTCAATGAAACCTGATAGTGGAGAAGTACGTCGGGCCAGTAGCAAACTGGATATAAATGATGAATTTGTGGCTGTGCCATGCTTAGAACTGATATCTAAAGGGTATGATGAATTAAAAACAAAGATTGAACAAGATGATAATAAAGAAGAAACATTGGGGCTTTATCGCCCTATACCAACGCATAATGATGATGACTATTCTCCTTATGGTTATAGAAATTCACCTGCGCAAGATGGTAACATAAATATTTATTTTCTTTGTACATAACTTGATGTGTTTCTTGCCTTGTTTCAGTTCTCAAATTCCAACCGGACAATGATTTTATTCACTTAAACAGCCAAGCACTGATGTTTGGGAAATTTTCAGAAATATCCACAGAAGTACTAACCGCTCAAAATGGCTTTGAACAATCATCAAATAACATTAATGTACAATATTCCTATCATAGCAACTGCAGAAATCATAACAATAATCTCAACGTTAAGCACAATGGACAATTGGATAAATCTCGGTAAGTTTAATATCAGATAACTCTTCCCCAATATACGTTTTTCTTTCGCAAAAACATATTACTTTGTTTGCAACCGATGTCTATCTGAAAATAATACTATTTGCCTAGATAATCTGTTATTGTTTTCTACACTTTCCGATTTTTTCCCACTCGCAAGTCCCGCTTCACAGGCTTATTTATTTGAAAGACAAAATTTTTAAAGATTTAAAAACTGATCGAAAATGTATTTGTAATTGTATATTGTATATGATAGTTTGGTCCAAGTAGGTGTGCGGGCGCAAAAAATATTCATAACTTTAAGCTGGGCACAAACTTAAACAATAAGGTGTTTTTTTTCAGGTAGATTATTTAACAATTGCATTATACGAAAACTGTCCGTCCGACTTTAATCGGACTTGCGGCTTTTTCATTGTTAAATAAGAAATTTAAAATTAACTGTTTTTACCTACTTTTTTGCACTTTCGAGCATTTTAAAGAAAACGTTTGAAATCTACAGTATCGGACCAACTCTATCTTGTAGAAAATTTCACATAATGAATTTTTTTTATGGGGTGAAACAGAACAGAAGCGATCCCTGAGGGTTTCATGCATGAGTCACACTGCAAACAGTAACCCTGTCTAAAGGCTCCTGGGAAAACAGCAAGAAATCATAAAAACTGTTAAAAGATAACAGGGTACTTTGGACAAATCATTCGGAGCAACAAATAGAAAGCAATAGATAATCCTGTAGGCAACATGACTAAAGAATGTACGACAATAAGCAAAAATAGCATATGAAATTATTTCGCGAATAGATAAACTAAAACTACAAAATGAGTCAATTTTCAAAAAGAACGGGAACAGTTTTCAAAACCAACCTTTTACTAGTGAAGGTGTCCAAAAAAATCGTTTTTATGGTCCGATACTTTTAATTAATGTAATTAACTAGTCAAAACATTGAACAAAAACAATATTTAACGCATTAAAATCTTCCTACATTTTTCATATCGCAGAAATATAACATTCTTTTATGTGATAAATGTCTATAAAACATATAAGGCACTTTTATGGACAGTCATTTCCAACGCATTAAAATCTTCTTTGAAGCAAACTTGTACTCCTCCTACGAACGATTCATAGTCGGAAAATTCCGATTCGAGGTGATCTTCAAAAAACATATTCAAAGAATTTCTCAGGCCGAAGACGTTTAGAAAGTACCAGGAGCATGAAGACACCCAGGATGGGTCTAAATAAGCCAGTTCGATGTTTCTTTGCAGCATCGATTTAAATGATAATGTCAAAGGAAATGGTATCTGAAAATAGAATTTCGTTTAGGTACTACGCCCTACATTGGCATTTAATTGATTACTACCTTTGTGCAAATGAAACCGCTGAAAGTATATGATACCCACGCGCCCGCTAAAATCATAGGGAGATGGTTACTGGAATGTTGTTTAATCAAGTTTAGCAGCTTGTCCTGGTTGTTTAATAAAAATGGTTGAAATACTGTTCTTTGGGGTATTGCGTCGCGGTGCTTCACTGCAAATCCACTATCAGGGTGAAATGATCCTTTCCGTATTTCAAAAGCCTTTCACATAAAAGTAGGTCTAATTAGATAGATAATAAGTCTATGATATTCAATTTAATTAAGATACAGAATTGCAGCAGCTGGAAACTTATAATCGTTATTGAACATTTACTACTAAGTTGTACTTACCAGTTTTGGAATGAAGCTGTGATGTTTCAACAAAACTACCACACGTTTTTTCATCTCTAGGTCTTGTATTTCGTTCAGTAGTAAGGTGATTTTATCATTAAATAGCAGTATGGCATAATGTCTCAATATTTCGACGAAGAAAGTAAGCAAAACTATCGGTAAGAAGACCCATAATCTTATTTTGGAGTCTAGCAAGAAATCTGTGCTCATTTTAACTCTTTTCGAACTGACTGACAGTGTCACCTATTTAATGGGCACACAAGGCAATAATAAATATGTCTGTGCTTACGTCGTTCTTGCTATATTTCTTTCGTAATGCGAAAATACGACAGTAATTTTCGACGACGACAATAATTACTTATTTGCACTCTTCTTATAGAGTAATTTCTCTGCTGTGTTTTATGTACGTTATTTGAAGTTTCAAAGTAGTTGGAACAAACACACAAAAAAATTAATTGCAAATTGAGAAAGCTCAAGATATACACAAACGAGAACATCAAAAAAAGTTTCCAAATTCTAATTTGTCTTAATTGAATTTAATATCCATACCTGTAGATGTGTGTTTGCTTTATTTGCGCTGTTCAGCATTCGTATATCCTGTTGTCCTGTTCGGTACAAAATTATACATGTACCTAATAAATAGATAAACAATAGTGTATATTTTATATTTAAAAGAGAGAAGAAATTCGAATAATGCTACGTCTTGTAGATACCGGGTGTTAAGCGTTTAATAAACAATCAGAATCTATTAAATGCGACTAGGTTTATGAGAAAGAGCAGTATTTATTTCACCGTATCTACCTCTGAAAATCTCCATAGTTTGCTAATATGAACGATAACTAAGCCAGAAATATTACGTTTTTATGCATATTTACTGGGTGTTAAAGTAAGGACATGATCTTAAAGATCAGTAGCAGTTTTGCTATTACAAAATCTATTAATGTCGACACCAATAAAATTACATATAGATTTCTACAAATAAATCGTTAAAAGATTCAAAATAAATATCAACATGTCATTAGCGAATTATTTTTGCGCTATAGTTTATACCTATAGCAAACTATGATAAATTTAGGGCGTAGCATACGTGATTAAAATAATGCCCCATCTAAATAACACACACATTTTAAATATTGGTTTAAAGCTCTCCACATCAAGATAATTCAACTGGTAGTAGCAGAGAACATCGTAAACGATTAAATAATTATCGTCAAAATGGTTGGGATCCGATGTTACGTCGAGTTCATGGCCTCACTCACAGGTAAACGTTCATATTTTACTTCATTGATAAATGAAAAGAGAAAAAAACAAAAATAAAATGCTTAAATATACTTAATGTGAACGAACTTAATATTATTTTAAGATTTAAATCCAAGTCGAAAGTATTGAAAATAGATCCAAATCCACCAAATTTACTAAACGGAGGAGTGTACGATCAGTTGAGCCAAGCCATATATGATGTTTTTACCAGTAAGGCCCAAACAACCGATTCCTATGAGAATAAAATAGAGATCTGGAAAAATCTGTTTTTATACATAAGGGTAAGATCAGATATTTGATTGATATAAAAGTTGTTAAATATTACAACTGTCTGATTAAGTGATATTTGTAGAGGTGTATCAATCATTATGCTTTGTATATTGTGGGTTCCACAATGACAGGATTTGGATTAAACTCGAGCGATATAGATATTTGTCTACTAATAAGGCCTTGCACTGAAGATGCCCGTCTGGATTCATTGCACCAGTTGCATCACATCAAGAACCATTTATTAAAATACAATGTTATCATAGAGTCAGAGTTAATCCTGGCTAAGGTGCCAATTCTTAAATTCCGTGAGGGAACTAAAGGCTTTGAAGTAGACTTAAATTGCAATAACTCAGTTGGCATCTATAACACTCATCTGTTGTATTGCTACGCCCGTTGCGATTGGAGAGTGAGGCCCCTGGTCATAATGGTTAAACTATGGGCTCAAGCCAATAGAATTAATGATGCCAAAAACTTGACTGTGTCAAGCTATTCGTGGACATTGATGCTCGTGCATTATCTACAATGTATGTAGAGTTACACACATTATATTCGCTAAAATATTGTACTGGTTTAAATTATAACATCTGATTTATCATTTCAAGGTGGAGTTTCTCCAGCAGTGCTACCATGTCTCCATAGCGTTTATCCGAGTCACTTCGATGTGGAAAAAATAAAAATTAGGGATGTTCACGAAGATCTACACTTATTAGACGAAATCCATTCTTTCAATACACAATCCCTAGCAGAACTATTCATTGGTAAGGCACTTTAAAATTTGCATTTCAGAATTATTCATATTATGTATTTTGGGGCAAAGGAATTTTGATCTGTATGGAAATATATCAAAGTTTTATCAGCCAAAGCCCAAGTTTCTAAAGTAACAAAATCTGCACAAAAACAATATTTTTATTACTTCTAATATGGGCCAATCATATACATATTTGCTTGTAATATTTCAGGTTTTTTTGGATACTACTCAAATTTCGACTTCAACCAATACGCCATTTCGGTGCGATCTGGTGGTAGACTTTTAATAGAAAATTGCAAGCAAGTTAAAGCCCCTAAAAATGACCAACATCAGTGGAAATATCTTTGCATTGAAGAACCGTTTGATTTTACTAACACTGCCCGATCCGTCTACGATATTTTCGCGTTTCGTCACATTAAGGCCATTATAACTAAATCATACGAGGAATTGGTAAGAACAAAATTATTAAACAGCGTGTTGCCTGTAACTGTTAATATTGATCCGATTATGCCAGCATATTGAAATCAATTCTCTAATCGCAAAAGCTACATTTAAAGGGGCATATATAGAAAAAGAAAATTTTTAATTGCATTATTCAAATTTCATAGTTCAGCAAAGGACATCGATCAACGAACAGCGGAAGCTAACTATCGTTGAAGAAAGTAAAACTCTAACAGCGTTTTACGGAAAGTATTTCAATTCCTCCTTTGTATATTTCCACTTCATTTTGGTTTTTAAGACTAATGAACATTACATTTACTTAATAAAATGAGCTGTCATATGTTATGCCATGCATGCATCGTCCAACTTTTTCAATTTACTTTTTTCACTGGAATATGTTTATTGATTTAACAACATATTCACACTTTTCACTTCACTTGCAGTTAAAAAAAACCAACCCCGTACGCATATAAAATTGGAATTTTGATCAGCGCTTGATCCAAAAATTCTTTGAAATATAAAAGCAACTCCATTCAATTTTATATGCCACAAAACTTTTATGTGATTAATTCTCATTTTGTGACATTAAACATCAATCCAGAGCGGGAGGTATATTATTCCGTACAATTTCAATGCAAATATGAACACTGCGTTGACTTATTTAAGTAAATTCGCATGCAGTTTTGCAAAGTTTAACCTCTCTGTACATTCCTCTATTTTTAGAAATTTATTGAAAAAATTGCACTATGCTAATTAAAATCACATTTACGTAATCAAATTGCATTAACACTTAATTTTCTGTAATCAAATACGTCGGTTTTCATACCAGTAACTTACACCATATTTTTTGTTTTATATAAGATTTTTTAAAGAAGATGCATGCCGGTCGCATTGGTTCGAATGGGCTAAACCATTTGATAAAATATTATTTTTGGGGGCTTGATCTGTATATAACGTTTTCATGAAACATGTTCTGTTCATTAATATTTTTACAACTTTACGATATAATTATACTTTGCGTTGCCTCTTTAGTATGGTGTGAGGGCTTGTCGCGTACTTATCGTATATATTCTCAAACTCCTTAAGCATCTCTTTATAACGAGTACATTTGAAAGTTCAACTTCATTCTATGAGTGTTTGATTTTCTGTCTTTTTGAAACAAAACTCATACATCTTTTTCTGCTCCATAAGTGATGATCTTTTACCAGTCCGTAGTTCTATATGGTTGAACATAAATAGCTTTAAAATGATCTCAAGTACTTTATTAAGTATTTTCGCCTAAGTTAATAAAATAAAGCTAGGTACTTAATACATTGTTAGCGCATTACTATCATCTCTATGCTAAGTTCGATTTTTTACCCAAAGAAGTTCCGAAATATGAGGATAATTACTATGAAGTTAAATTAAGAAATATTCGTCCGAATCCTAAATTCCATTCGGCACCTTTAGTTAGAGAGTTTTTATTTATCTGCACTCTCGAATCTTTTACATTTGGAGAGGTCAATTGAAAATATTAATCCTTCAAGGATGTGACACAAGTTTTGCTACTTGTAGGTTCCTGTGTGAATGTGTGTGTGTGTTTGTGTAAGTACGTATGTTTTGTTATTAAGTAAAAAGTTTATAAAAAAAATTTAAAAATGTTAAAAACTAGGTTGTGATATATTTTTACAAACTCACTTCCTAGTAATTAAAAAAAACTGTTAGGTTATTAAGGATTGTATTTTTGTGCCAGTCTTAGTTTTTTCACTCAAAAGCTTATCGTCTTCATGTTTTGGGAACAGATTCACTAATTTGTGAATTACAATTAAATGGCGATAAGAATACCTACATACAGAGGGGGCTTTCAAGATAGTGTAATACTTCTACCCCTAATGAAATAATAGGTTTTTTCAAGTCCACCTATGATTTTTTTGATGAAATAAGTGCTGTTCCAGTTGGCTTATAACAACCAGGAACAACCAACTCTTTTATTAGAACCTCACATTTGTACGTTTCATTATTAACGTTCGGGGTGTTGTTTCGATGAAGATAACCAAAGGATTAATTAAGTAGCGAACTATTACGCTTAGGATGGGCAAGCGAGGCCGCTTGTTAAAAAATCTGTCTAAAACCTGATACATATCATTGAGGGGCCGTAAATATTTCCTAGATATAAGTGTTATTCTCAAAATGAGGTCTATTTGCAACGATTGATTCTTTGTTGATTTTGTATTCTTCTATGTAAGGTAAAGTCGTTGTTAAGTAAGATATAAATGTGATTGATTTTCTTTGCATATAAAGTTTGTAGTAAAAAAGCAGCAAAAAAATTACATAAAAATTTGGAAAACAAAAAAATACTGTTCTCAGTTCTCTACTTGCATTATTAATAATAATGTCACTTTTGATAATAACGTGGTAACAATAATATTGTAAAAATGTCAATAATAATTAAATTTGATATTACAGAATTGAAGAAATTACCGTAAGATATATATAAATATGAATTAAACTATTTTTGTGATGGTTTTGTTCTTTTGTGATAATTGTTAGTGAGTTTTTTTCATTTCATCATTCTATTATATTTCAGTAAAAATGGCAAACAATCTACAAGGTTAGTACATTTCTATATTTATTTTGAAACCATCATAGATCATTCTGCGTTCGAATTCAATTTCAACAGATAGTTAATGAGATTACTCTGGAGTAATCTCTGTAATAGTTTGTCCATTTTTACCGAAATTAGTTTTGCTATTTAGCAGTTTGTGCCAAATAACTTACTTAATTATTTACCTTAGTTTTTAAGGCGTCCAGATTCTTTAATAGTCACCACTATACATGACTTGATGAATAATATAAAATACATGTTAAGACAATATTTAAAAAATTCGAACAATAATCTTTACAATAATGGAAATTTTGAAAAATCTATTTTATTCGGTTAATATATTTCATAATGGTAAGGATTGGATTAGGATTAAAGATATTTAAAAAATCTTCATGTACTGCGGCTTGTCTTCAAATAGTTTTAAACTTCTCATGCGTACTTGTAACCCATTTTCGTTTGTATTGAAAAATTCTAATATTTCAAAGTAGCAGCTAAATCATAATTTACTAGTGTCTATTTCTAAGCAGCAAATGTGAATTAAATAAACGTGTTAGAGACGCTATTAAAGGAATTTAGTCGTAAACATCCACAGCTTGCCTAATTTCAATTGCGGGCAGTTATTTTCCAAATAAAAGATTAACTTTGTTCAATCAATTCTGCGATACTTCTATCGAATCTAAGTATCGAAATTTCGAAGTAAATATAAGTAAGTACAATGAATTGAATATTATTGTCTTTATTTCCTAAAATATATTGAAGTTTTCTGCGTTATTAGCCAAAACATTTTAGTATGCAGTTAAGATTTGCCGTTCTAATGCTACATTTTTCGAAGGGAACTTATCTATAGACCGATCTTAGTATACACGCAAATGTTTTTCATTGTAATCTGATATTTTAAACAGATTTTCAAAAACTGTTCTTTTATAGCAATTGAAAGAAAAGTTTTAAACGCAAAAGAGATTGAATATTTATTTCCAACATTTTATAACAGTACAATTACATGTCTCGGAAATGGTTGAAACTGAATCTGGATAATCGCTACCCAAGCAACACTATAAATTCAATGGACATCCAAAATCCTGGTCCAAAAGAGTGCCAAATGTTCATGATACCTTTTTTGGTTATAAGGGTCTTTCGATAAATCGTTTCGAATACCATCGTTTACTGCACTAGAGATAGTAAACTGAATTTGTTAAAATTTTAGAATTTGCAAACGATTAAAACTGATCGAAGTATTATTGGAAATCTATAAACAGGGTGTTCTTTACTAGTTCAGTTGTTCCAGCCGTAGCCAAACTTCAGGATGGTTTCTTTTGAATATATATAGGATGTGGGAAAAATTACGATTTTTCGTAAATATCGTCAAAATCTTTTTATCCAATATTTGGCAGTGGATTTCGGGAAATTAAGAAGGCTAATAATTAATAAGCCCTAGGGCCCCCCGGAGGAAAACAACAATATTTTTGGAAGAAAACGGTCGCCACAGACTTCAAATTTTCTAATTTCTTCTGCTTAAAATTCGTTTTTGCGATTAAAAAAAATTATTGTTGTTTAATGTCCCTGGCTCCACATAATGAATAATTACGACTAACATACGCAAGCGGCAATTAAAATTCCATGCCAGTCATTTAAATATTGATTTTGTTTTTCGCATAAATTAAACCTGATTTTGCCAATACAATAAACGAAAATTATTGATGCATATCTTTGTTGAAAAGAAATAATTTAGGAAATACTCATAAAGTTTTGTTACATACGTTCACTCAGGGAATCACCTTAGCTACGTACTTAAATACACTGTATAGAGCCTAATTAGGCAGCGCGCCTAAATTTGTATAAGACATGAAAATGAGTTGTTATTAATCACGTATCGGATTGTTTAAAGTTCATCCAACAGATGCCAGGCTTTCTGGCCCTCTGTTACAAATCAGTGCAAGTAACGTTTACTGTAGATCATGAGCTTTCAGCACATTGTAATTTGTGATGGTTGTGTATACGATTAATTCATATAAGTTTTAAGTGAGAATTTACAGCATTATTCACAGTTCTTATGAATTATGAAAATAGAGGGTATTATTAAAATCAACCTCTCGTTTTTGCCTGTTTAGTAGGCATCTCTTTGTTCTACTGTCCTGCCCTCTTCTGGAAAACCTTGTAACGTTTTAATGGTAATCAAGCGTTGGCTGTGTTGACACCGAATTCCAGTTTGTTGATATTTTGCTATTTGCTAAATTGTTCCCGAGTTTCACATAGCTGACCTTAACGATGGAAGAACGGCAAAAAACTCTACGCAAAATGAAAATTTGCAGATTCTGTTTTGGTGGCCAGGATAAAGAACTCCGCAGTATTTATCAGAAGGAGCCTAAAACAGTCCCTCTACCTCTACAGATTATGAGTTGTGTGTCAATCGAGGTACGAAAACTGTAATTCCTTATAGATTTTACATTAGAAACTGTACTTCTACTAAACGAAAAAGTTTGCTGTGCTTTGCAGAGAAATTCAAAGTTACTCTTAAAATGTAAATACGTTTAGTAGTTCTTCAGGATCAGCAACAAAATATTTAAAAAATGCCAGCGGATGCAACATGGCTGTACAAATGAAGATTAATTTTGGGTTCCAAGAAATGATCATTAATTTCTTAACTATTCTGATTCATATTATCTTTTCCTAATATCGCAAACACAGAAAAGGCATGTTATAAAGTGTTTAAGCTATTTATCGCCTTTTATTTAATAAAAAAATACCTCAAGAATATTTACTAAATTAACACCAGTGCGAAATATAAAAAACACGGCTATAAATAAAGCAAATTAATTTGTTTGTGGTGTGCAATTGAATATGGAAGGGTACGTTTCTAATTTATCAGGCATTCATGTTCGAAGATAACAATATGCTTAGCTTATACATAATCTCTTTTCTAACTACTTTTCTTATTGAAGATATTGTGGAAAAGCGCCTCTTTGAACCACTACTTTTCCATAAGAACACAGGACGGAAATCGTAGATCATGATTTTGCGTTTTACTTTTTTGAGGCGTTGCAAAAGGACGCCTTTCGTTGATCAAACATTAATTCGTTCATTCGAAGCAAAAAATGCATTTTAATGTCGCTTCAACCACGATCAATGGTTTATAAATCCGAACATCTTGCTGGCTAATAGGAGACAATGACAAAGATTTATGAGAAGATACCTATTTTAGTTGTGGGTGTATATTGAAAGTATATTAAAATTTGCAAACACAAGGTGGCAGTAGCGTTCTCTGTGTCTTGGATGGAAGATTATTGAATTTCAATGAGTTATCGAGTGATCAAAAACCGCATTTCCTCAAAAAACACAGAAAATAAGGTTGTAGAGTTGTACTATCAGTATTTCGTCACCTTCAACGGTAAAAAACATCCTGTTTCATAAAATAATCAATTATCCACACAAAAATAAAACATACACTAAATACCCATTTTCTATTAAAATTTATTTGAAAATTACAAACATTTTATTCTCTTAATTATTTTATCTCTATTTTGGTTTAGGTATTATTAATTATTTTTTTGCCTATTTTTGAATTTACTATTAATTTAGTTTTTAATTACTCGGTGGAAATGGTGTTAAACTCACCTGAGAAACTTATAGAGATGAAGAGACTTGGGTCAATACTAATGTGCATATTTCATTGAAACTCCATTAATATACAAGGCGTTTAATAATGATGTTCAAATATTTTAAGGGCGTATTTTGCAGGTAGAACAAGTTTTATTATTTAAAATTTTAAAGCAAACTCGAGAAATTTACCAGTTTCAAGCAATGACCGCGAAAGCCTAACAATTTTGATTATTATTATTATTATTATTATAAATTTTTTTTCGAAAATATTTGTGGTAATTGCAAACGAAAATAAAAGAGCTAATTGGTATTTGAAACAAAAATCATTATTTTTAAACATTATGATCTGAAATGGTATTGTTAATTGAGAATGGTAAAACCAAGTACGTTTTTGCAAACCGGCTGAGCTTTATTGTATAAAATATGATTTATTTTCAGGTGTTTCCTAATGACGGTTTTCCTGAGCTTATATGCAATGAATGCGCGCAGCAGACACTGTTATCATACACTTTTAAACGCAATTGCAGAAAAGCGGATGATGCATTGAAGGTATTTTAATCTGCAGGTTTATTTCTCACGATTAAAGTAATATGTTATACGATTAAAAAACATAAGCAGGGTTTCTTTTTCTGTCCATAACGATTGTACGTGATATATTTTGTACTGTTTTATTACATTTTTTCATTTTTCACTATCGTTGACTGTACTGTACTATGTTGAAGTATTTTGTTTTGTTTTGAATTTTTCAGGGGGAATAAAGCATATTTTGATTTTATTTGATGTAATCAGTAATTTTTATGCAGTAAACTAAGCAATTGCTCCGCGAGTATACGCATGAAAAATTAGTATCAATTATATTTCATCCTAAGGAAGCCTAATTTGTTTACAAACAAATTGTGAACAAGGCGTTTTTTACATAATAATTAGACATTTTTTAAAATTTTCAAAATTAGTCACAGATAGAAGTATCTGAAGATCGCTATGATTTCGGATATAAACGGACGGTTTGTCTTGATGTCCAACCATCCTAAAAGTTTCTGGATATATATATACGGAACACTATGTAACACACTTGTAGATCAAGAAGGATTAATTTCTTACTTTGTTATGTCTTGAGAAATATGGACTGAGTGCGATGGTGTTTTTAGAAATTTTTAATGACTGGCGAGTTGATTAAGCCACATATTGAAAAAAGTCGGTCTACAAAGCCTCAAAAATGTCCTAGTTCGGACCATTCTCCAAATGAAACGCTTACTAGCAATACCAAGAAAAAAGAGTCAAAGGAAGCCGGAATCCAAGACGTGAAAAAAATTAAGTTAAATGATGGAACTGAAGTTATTACGTTGTGTATTTCTCCATCAGATGATGTGAGTATTCACCATAATTGGTTGAAGTTTGAATTTATGAAACAGACGTCTTTATTTAAAACTGAGTGAAACTGAAATATTGATCTGCCAGCAGGTTAGTCAACATTCTGAGGAAATGCAATCCAATACCGACGAAGCTAATATTGAACTGGACGAAGTGATTAACGACGAACCTTCTCATTCGAAACAAGTGGGTTCTTCGAACGATTTACTGAGAGTTACAATTAGGAATACTACATGCGTTAAACTTTTCAGGGCGCAACAGACGTATTTGCGTGTGAACATTGCAATAAAACATTCTTATTAGAGCAACTTTTGGATTTACATGTCACTTCTCATCATCGGGAACGGACAATTCCTTGTCCACAATGTGATACCAAGTTTTTTAGGTACATTTTTGAAAACATTATGCAATTAATTCGATGACTTTTTTCTGCTTTTAGTAAGTCCGACATGACGAAACATCAGTTAACTCACACAGGCGAAAGACCATTTTCTTGTAGTGTTTGCAAGAAAGATTTTAGTCGAGAAAGTTTACTTAGACGACACGAATTAACACACACTGATACTCCTAATTATATGTGTTCTCAATGTGAAAAGATGTTTGTGGAGAAATCCGATTTAAATGCCCACATGCGTAAACATCAAAAGAATAGGCCATTTGCTTGCACAATATGTCATAAATCTTTTGTCTTTAAACAGGTCAGTAGCTGTAGTAGTTAGGTATTTATTCCTCTTAAGTGGAAACATTTCAGGGATTGGACCGTCATATGGGTTCAGAACACTCCGGGGACAAGCCCTTCAAGTGTAATTATTGCGATGCTGCATTCAGCTCGACCATTCGTCTAACTAGACATATTACTACTCATGCTGGCTTGAGACCTTATCCTTGTAAAGTAAGTCGCTTATTATTATACTTTAGTCGATATAATGTTCCATATTCTAATACGTCGTTACGAATACAGATTTGCAGTAGAACATTCTTGTTAAGCCATCATTTAACCAGACATATGAGAAGTCATTATGAAAAGCAACCAGAAGAAGCCCTCGGCCGACATAAGTGCGACATATGCAGTATGTCATTTAAGAGAAAAGACAATTTGATAAATCATAGCCTTATACACAGTATGGTCAATTTAAGGTACACATTTGATTTTATTGCTTTAATTGACTTGTGCTGTAATTAGTATGTTCGTTTTCCAGATGCGCAATTTGCTACACTGCTTTCGACAATGTAAACCTGGTTAGAGATCATATTAATTCTCATTTGCAAGGGCTGCCCCACCAATGTCAGAAATGCGATTATAGTTTTGAGACGGAGAAACAATTGGTTCGCCACGAATTAAAACATGCTGAAATGGAGTATGAAGAGCAAATTGAAAAAGAGGTATACTGCCCTACAGTGGAACCAGCCAAATAAACAAATTACAAAATTTTAGTTGAATTTTCAAATTTTGTAACAAATGCGATATGGTTCGAGACTCACTATAAATAATATATTAATATTTTAGGTGATTTCTGAAGTGAATAATGTTGATAAAGTTGAAACAGATGATTACTTTAGCGCTGATGACGATGATGTAAGTAAGAATTTATAAAATTATTTCAATTAAAAGTACGACTTTAAAATGGCATAATTATTTTCTAATACTCAGATTTCTCATTTCCAACTTGACGATTTTGCGAATCCATCAATAACATTGTCAAAAGAGGAAGATCAAATTTCAATCGGTAGCATTCAGGTGGAGGAAGCACAGACACATTCAACCGAAAAACATACCGATGCAGATGGGCTTAAACAATTTTTTGAATCTGAGGCCGCCAATCTGGAAGACGAACAGGATTTGACTAACACAATTGCCGGGTTTAATGATGAAGAATCTCAAGACAGCGTCATCAAACCGATCTATAGAAGCGAAGGAACCAAAGTATATCCAGGCTATTTTATTTTCGTAATGTAGTATAGGCAAGATAATTCAAACGAATTCTCCTTTCATGCTTCTGAATTTATATCAAGTTAAGATATATGCAGATCGTAACATTGATATTAATTATTTCGAGTTCGGATCTGAAATTGTAAAAACGGTATGGTTGGAAACTATCAATTGTAGTTATCCGTTTATATGAAAAGTGAAAACTTTTTGCTCGAAAATAATATAATACTGAATAAATTAAAATAGCTCTAACTAATATGAAATTTTTTAATTTCCCAGATGTATAAGCGAAAAGGTCCAATCCAACGAAAAATTCCGAAAGTTCAGCTCCAGACTGAAAATGCTCCAATGGCGGAGTTAGATGAAATCAACGAACCGCTTAATATGCAAGGGATAACTGCCGATTCCTTGAGCAACTTTTCTTCCAAGAAACCAGTAAACATGAAAGTTGGAGATAAGGTTGTTAAGGTGCAGAAATTCATCATTAGTAAAGATGAAATGAAGCAAATGGCGAAATTGGGTAAAAAGTTCAACCTGATATTTTCAACATGAGTATTTATTCATTCCTTTTAATTAGGTATTCTAGAGGTAAAAAATGGACAAGTGTTGATGAAGTCCCCGGGACAACCGATTTTAAATGCAAAAATTAAGCCAATTCAACAGAGTGATATTGATAGCTTGATACATAGTCAGAAGCAAAACAAACCACAAATTAAGCAGTATGAAAGAAAACCAAGTAGTACTCAAAGCAGTTCATCGGCATCGGCGCGTGCACTAGTGGACAGCGTCATTGCAGACTTTGACTGATTTATTGACAAAATTTTGAATCATATGGTCATAATGGTTGTTGAATGTATATACATATATATGCATATTTTTTGTAAATTATTTTATTAGTATTGTAAGAAATTTTAAGGGCTTGGTTTGAATCTTAAAACTATTTTTTTTAATTGAACTAATTTGTGTTTATTGATTGCTCTAATCCCAGAAATTTGTAGGCTTCAGTTGTATCTTATATTTAAAATGTTTGAAAATTAAAACGACAGATTTCAAGTGAAAAGAAAGAAAACCGTTCTTTAGTTTAACTGAAACGTAATCCAAAGCCCGGACATTTAAAATCAGGAAGGAAAGAGACATGTGAAGAAGCTCAAAAACTTCAACTTGCTTGTGGAAAACCTAAACTCAGTTCAAACTAAAGATATATATCCTACTTACCAGTTTTTCGTAAGCTGGCGCCCCATCCTCCATTTCTTTAGAAGCTATGCTAGGCACCAAATCACTGCATATCCCAGCAAAACGCAAAGAACCGATGACGATTAATTTCGACCGTTGCCCGTAACACTGAAATTTAAAAAATAAACGGCTTGAGGTTTCATAATGATATAATCGTTCCTTACATGAGTCATTGCTATATTAAGAATCTTTCAATATAGATTTTACAAATAATACTTGAATAAATAAATTCTTATAAATTTTGTCTGTCTCATTATATTGCTTGGACTTTTAATTTAATTAGTACTAAAAAGTAAACAGTTTTTTATATTAGTGAAACGTAAAAGAGTACGAGAGTCATGAATATAAGTAGAGCAGAAGTAGAGTACTCGACATATTCATATTTGAAAAGGTCCAAGTAAACTATTTTTTATTGTCTATTGCATGTAAACTTTTATAGATACATACATTTAAGTTATTTACAATGAAGTTATTTTTTCGTTTAAATATCTCGAAGCTCGAATATTTTTTTTCCTGACCTGGGGAGAAAAATCTAAAAATGCCTCAGCC